AAATGCAGAGCAACAGTTGAGAATGAAGTGTTAGAGCATAAAAGTTCACAAACAAGATGACACTCTGTAGGAGTCAGCATGTGATTGTTAGTTGATAAAACTCAGATGAACCTTTGGTGACTGCCCTCCACCTGCTCCCAACTTCTGTCTGGCCTGTCAGGAAAGGTGTCATTTACTGCTGGGATGATAAGAGAAGCAGGTCTGTGGAAGCCCCCAGCATCCCTGGGAACTCCTGAGTCTTTTCCATCTGCTCATATGCTTTGCTGTCAAACCCCATTTTGCAGAGATCTTTGGAATTGAGCTAATGTACTTCATCACTTGTTACAGCCAACAGGATTCCAAATTGATGTTGTGGAAGAGGTTGCAACTGGGCTCAAGCAGGGTGAAAAGCTTCCAGGATGCCCAGCAGAGGAGAGCACCCACTCCACAGTCAAGAGCCAGGGGTAGAGGGACTTCCCTGGTGGTGCAGTGGATAAGACTCCGCACTCCCAATACAGGGGGCCCAGGTTAAGTGGGATCGCACTGAATCTACAGATATATTTGTGGAGAACTGACATCTTGCCAATTCTCTTCCACCCACCTCTTCCCATCTAGAAACATACTGTATCTATATATTTACTCAGCTACTTTCATTTCTACCACAAATATTTTGCTTTTAGTATAGTAGTAGTTTTCAGTATACATGTTTTGCATATATTTTGTTAAATGCACTCACAAGTATTTTTTTGTGTTTTGATGCTATTCTAAATGGAAGCTTTAAAAATTTATTTTCCAATGGCTTGCTGCTAGCATAAAAAATACTACTTATTTTTATATAATAATCTTGTATTCCATGACCTTGCTAAATTATCTTATTAGTTCTAATAGTTGAAGATACCTTAGGCTTTTGTACATAAATAATCATATTATTTGCAAATGGAGACTATTTTATTTCTTCTTTTCTAATCTTTATGCCTTTTATTATTTCTTTTCCTTGCTTTGGTATACAGTAAAATGTTGAGTGTAAAAAAATCATGAATGAGTACTGAATTTGCCAAATGTCTTTTCTGTATCTATTGAAAAGATTCTTTTTTTTTTTTTTAAGCGCAGATTAAAAAGCACTCAAACAAGTTTAGTAAATAGTTTTTGCACAAACATCCACCATTACCTTAGTGCCTCGTGATTTTTGCACAAGACCACCATCTGGCTAGTAGGTGACAGAAACTGGGCTCAGACACAAACCTTTTGAATTTAAAGCTCCTTTTCTTTCACCAGCACCATGGTAACCTCAGACTAGTTGAATATAAGAATTCTCATGATAATGTTTTTAGTTTTTTCCTCTTTATTTTTATGGATAAAATGCAACATACATATACTTAACAATGAAACTGATGGGATGAAAGAACATTAACTTTTGAGATGGGAGACAACATAAAAAATTGGCAACCTAGTGACAACATGATTTTTCAATCAAAGCACATAGTTTTAGAAAAGTTGGAAAATGCCTAAAAGAAAAGATGTTATTTTTAAATTAAGGGGTGTGTGTGTGTGTGTGTGTGTGTGTGTGTGTGTGTGTGTGTACAACTGTTGAAAATGTTTGAAAGAAACATTTTAATCCATGTAATATTATTTTTTATTAAGTGACATATTTATGGAAAAAAAAAACAGTTGAAAGTGCCTGTCAGAAAACAGAAACTATTCAATCCTGTAATATATATTCCTTTCAGACATGTGATACATTTATGAAAAACAGTTGAAATATGCTTGATAGAAGTTTAATCTCACGCTACTTTTAGTCAAGTGCAATGTGGGGAAAGCGGTTGAAAATGCATGAAAGAAGATGAAGTGAATTTCTACATTTGAAAACCTGTGATTCAGCACAGTTAAACACACAAGACAATGACTAAGGGACACGGATTCTCTCAGCGTCTACACCACACATCATAGTTACAGAGTATTTGGTTTTAAAGCTTTTGCTAACAATATTTTACATCATTAAATGTATATTATTAAATGTACACTGAAAGCTAACTGAAGTGACTTAAATAATAAGATTCAGGAACAGTTTGTAACAAAAATTGTTAACGTCTGTTATTTTTTTCTCCCAAGAAAGACAAGTGAGGTAGTTTATATTGTATATACATTGTAAAGAGATTAATATTCCAGTCTGTTCAAAGGTCACTCCTTGAACTCACTAAACTCATTGTTCAATGACTCCAAGAATCATATCCCCAAGTGAGCTGTTTAGCAAAGGGATCTTCTTTCGTAGAATGGAGGAAAGAATGAGCCTGTTCTAGGGGGTTTTTTTCTGAATAATTGTTCCTAAAACGTTAACTTTCTCTAATGTTTTCGTAGATATAATTTTCCTAACTGTACACCAAGAGCGCTTGGGAAGAGATGAGGTGGGAAGCTATCAAGAAAAGAATTTAGAAGCCCAGTATCTGACTCTTCTTTTGTTTGCAGATATACTATTCATGTTTGCTTTTACACTATTCACTGTTACAGATTACTGTAACTATTTTAAAAAACAACTCTTCATAAGGCAAAGACAGTTTTTTCAACACTTAGGTGACCAGCAATTTTGAGTTTTAATTGTAGGGGTTTGTTTATTCATTAAGAATAAAACTATTCATTAAGAATAAGATTAGTAAAAAAAAGAAAAGTAAAAATTAGTAAAAAGAACTTCTTTAACCACACAAAAATTAGTTTGTGTGTCTACTGGAAATTCTTCTCTAATCAGTTTGTTAACTTGATGACTAAAAATTCAGGTTATATCCAATGATACTGGTATTGACGTGGGCTTCCATATCATATAGTTATTTGAAAGTTGTCACACAACCTTGGATGCACTGAAGTGATTAAAATTATTGACTGGGCTAAGCCTTTGACATCTAAAACCACATAAAAGTGGATAAGAAATTCAGAAACTTAGTTTTTTTTAATCTGTCATCTGTTAGCCATTTATTTAAAACTAATGACTAATGAAGTAAATCTTAAAACCTTTAGAACTTATGCATCTGTCCTAATGTGTTTTCAGTCAAAAGAAATAAAAAAAATTCCCAAATAAAAAATTAAATGGATAGATCTGTGAATTTTCTAAACACAACAGAATATATTCTAAATGATAGGAAATTCAGTGAGAAAAATCAGTCATTGTTTTAATACATACACAGAAGTGTAAGGCAGCTAATTTGAAGAATTTCTTCCATGTATGTGGGCATAAATTACAGCCATCTTATGTCTTGGACCTTAGCAACTACATGAAGTAAAATGTTTACTCCTGTTGTTTGAATTGCAAAAATGATAACGGCATTTTCTCAGACCCTCAAAGTTCATTATGTAAACTCACATGCCGTCAATTAGCCATACATTGAAAACTGATGAAATGTAGGAATAAATATGAACCAACAGAACACATGTTTATCTTCTAATGGGTTTTCAGGCAAAGGAAATAAAAAATTCTCAAATAAGCAAATAAAATGAATGGATATTTGAGTTTTCTATAAAAATATAACAAAATTCTAATGGCCAGAAATGCAATTATCTACATGTTGAATATAAATTATGTTTTTATAGATATCAAGGCATAATGAGCATGTAAAAGATTTCTTCTATACTATAGGCTTAAATTATTATCACATTTTGTTTTGAGACTTGGTAAGTAGATTAAATGTATTCTGCATTGGTGAGCAACTTTGTCTATTGTTTGATTTGCAAGAGAGAGTCATTTGGGCATTAAATCTCATTAAAACTGGTGTAAATTCATCAAAATCTCAATCTAATTAGTAGATTCTAATCCAAAGCACATACATGGGATAAATGAGACCTCTGTCCCCATTTCTAACCAACTCTAGAACGACTATACTGCAGTCTCCAAATGAAAGGCAGGGCTGTCCAACCCCCCAGCAAATTTCAGATTTGCTCTCAATTAGAATCATGAATTGTGCTTTCTCACCAACTGCAGGTCTGGAAAATGGCTCCATGGGATCTTGATAGCGAGGCAGTTTTCAGCTCACCAAACATTCATCTGATTTTAAAGCCTGATGCTAATCCACAGTGCTTGGCCAAGTCTATGATTGATGAACAGAAACAAAACCTGTTTTTACAGCATACAAAATCTGGATATAGCAGTATTTTTCAGCACTCTTGAAGAAAGAGCAGTTGGACAAAGGCAGTTCTGCAGTTTAAAACTGGGGCTGCAGAAGTGATTCTCTACAGCTGTGAAATATAAAAAATGATATGTTTGATGAGGAAAGGAAATCTGTGCCTGGCACATGGAAAGCTATTCACTGAGCACCATATTCACGATGAGGAAATAGGGGCCCTGTGACTGTTGACTACACCAAAGGTTATGGACGCACAGGAACAGCCCTTTTCAACCTAACCTTAACTATGGGGACCTGTGCTCATAAGAGAACAAGCTTTAAGAATGTCAGTTTTCAACAGCCCAAGATAGGGAAATGTTCATTTGCACCAGAATGCAGACAGCCACAATACAGTACAGCATACATAACAACACAGTGGTTTTTAAATAGAAGGTTCTCCTCCTCCAATTCAGAAGCAAGTCAGAGCATAAACATTGTTTGTGTGACTCTGGAAACTGATTCTCTTTGGTAAGTAGATCTAAATTATTTTTCAGAGCAGAAATTTTTGTTATTTCTGGCATCCTTGTTCAAAAATGTCTATATATATATAATATAAGTATATAAAAAAAAGTCTTTTCCACCTCTTGTGTTTGGTAGCATTTGCTACATCAAGAAGTGCTTCTTATCCCCAGGTAGAGGACCAAATTCATTTCTGCTGTGAAGTCAAAGTATTAGAAACGATTAGAGTTCCATATTCTATATTGGCCTTTCTTCTGGAAGGATCACATCCTCTTTACTTCACTCTTATCAAAGAACCATCATGAGAAAGCTTCAGCTCAAATGGTCAACCAGTTCCTCTTCCACAATTCGTGTTGACACCAGTGGGAGACACCAGTTGGGCTGAGAAACACCAAGAGGGTTCTAGGAACAAACATGTCAAAAGCAGTCTTGTTTTTTCCCTACCAAATGTAGGACTTCTTGGCAGGTAATGCACGATAGCTGCCATCTTGGGGGGTATTTCAAACACTTGATTGGGGTTTAATCACCCATTCTGCCTGGGGATTTACATGATATACATCCAATATATAAGCCTCTGGATCCAAGCAGTGCTGTCCTAAAAGAAAGAAAAATCAGAGTATGTTTTCAAAAGTGCACACTTCCGTGCGTGTGTGTGCATGTGTGCATGTATGTGTGTTTGCAAGGCTCAAATAAGGCCAGTATAGTTCCCTCAGCCAAAAATGAATACATTTTAAAGTTTCCTAGCAAAGCCAGCCTTCCTCCCCTCTTTTCTTTGCTTCTGACTATGAAGTACTTCAAATAAATCCCATGTGACACTGTGGAGCAAACAGACACGCTAATCACAAGCAAATTGTTCCCTAGACTCACTACATCAATTAGAAAAATATGACAAGAACCTGTTTCAGGTATCAATTCATTTATATGATAATGAGCACTAATGATCATTTAGATGACAATACATATCCTCTAACGGTTTTATTGATAGAAACTTGACCAGGACTAGACACTAATATCAAGTTCATTTTAGGGAAGGTCATTTCATTTTTCCTGTGGGCAGGAGATCTGGAATTGATAACAACAAAAAGATCATTCCATGGGGGCAAATACATTTGAAAATTCTTATGTACAGTGTGTTCGAAATGTATACTAAAGTCTCAAACAAAAGTAGCAATATTTAATTGCTTGCCTGATTCATTCATTCATTTCTCAAATATTTCTTGAGTTATTACGTGCCAGGCACTATTGTACGGGCTGAGGCTACAGCAATGCATCAGACAGTCAAAAATACTTGCCCTCGGGGTGCTTACGTTCTAAAAGTGGTAAAAGGCAACTAGCAAATAAGCAAGTATGATAGAAAGTAAGTCTGATGGTGATAAGAACATGAGAGAACAAGAAATTGGAGAAGGCGCAGAAAGAGGGTCCAATCCAGGAAGGTCTCACTGAGAAGCTGATACAGCGGCCAACACCTGACAGAGGTAAGGGAGTGAGGAGGGAACCATCCAATGGAAAGCATCCAGGGCAAAAGTCAAAGCGGATGTGAAGGCCCAGGGCAAGATGTGCTGGGGACTGGATATGAAAGCTGGTGTCCAGGGGAGTCTGCACATGATGTTGAGAGATGGCAGCATCCAGGTGCCTTCAGAGCAATGAGGTGCACTAAGTTCACCATGGCAGGTAAGTGCAGACAGAAGTTCCAGTGCTCCGAGGTTGAGAGGGTGAGAAGTAACAGGCCGAAGAGACTCAGAAGGAGCAGCCTGTGAAGTGGGGGGAAAGCCAGGAGCTTAGGGGGTCCTTGAAACCAGGTGAAGAGAGTGTTTTCTTAAAGAAGGGAAAGATCAACCCAGGCAGTTGTAAAGACAAAATGAAGCACTGGATTTCACAACAGAAGAGTCCTCCGGTGACCTCGACCAAAGAGCAATTCTGAAGTGTTGAGGGGTAAAGCTTGACTGGAGTGCCTTCAAGAGAGAAGGAGAGGAAGAAACTGGAGTATATACACAAATGATCCAAGGAGTTTTTGCTATAAGTGGAGCAGAGAAATGGGAGTAGACTTGAAGGGGGTCAAGAGAGAGTTTTGTGGAGATGAGAAAAATTACAAAACTGTTTATGCAGAGAGAAATGGTGTGGTTGGGAGGGAAAAGCTGATGACAGAGGAGAGGATGGGAGACTGACCAAGCCCTCGTCCACAGGAGGGAGGCGCCGCCCTAAACAGGAGCACGGATATTTCGTCCCAACTGTGAAGGGGGGCAAGAGGAAGGTAAGGACACAGAGGCACGTGGACGGAATTTTCTTTTTACTCCTTTCTGTCCCCCTTCAGGGGAATAGGAAGAATGAATCTGGACTGAGAGTTGAGCAGGAAGTTCAACACAAAGGATGTCGAGATGATGAAAGTGCCACAATTTCTCCTTTCGTTTGCATGAATCTCCAGACTCTCCAACTTTCAGAGTCACATTTAAAAGACGCAAAAATCTACTCCACATCGACTAAACTATTTACATTTAAATTTTGAAAATATTTTCGGAAAGTCATACTGTTCTTATGTGAGAATTAAAAAATCTGACACAGTGATTTTGATTTTCTATCTAAAGAAATTTGTAAAGTACACTTACAATAAGAGCAGCATATTTCTTTTAGAGTAATCAGAGAATGTAGGAGTAAAAACATTAAAGAATGCTTACCTATATTACCTCCAATTTCATATAATCTTTGGTTCTGGATCTTAATGCCTTCCGATGAACCATGACTGAGAAAAGAAGAAAGCAATATAATTTAAACCCTCCTCTGTGATCTGGGGTAAACCTGTGGATTAAATAATCATGGCAACAAACAATCATTCTGCCTTGGGTGAAATACACCACACAAATCATTATTATGACTGAAGTGATGATAAAATCTTTTTTTTTTGCTTGACACAGACAAGCATCTGAGGCAGAGAGGAAGCTGGACGCCGCCAGGCTTCACGGCCACCCCAGCCCTTCCATCCACCACTGTCAGCTCCTCTTAAGAGAGGACACCTTATTGACACATCAAGGCTGGCCAAGGAGCAGCTGGATGTTTAATATTGCCTTGTCGAGGGCAACATTACTCTCAGTTCAAAAGCCATCAGGTTCCATTTCTGTATTTGCCAAAAATTGAATGAGATTCCTTCCTCAGCCCATGGCACATTTCTAAGCTTGCCCAGTGCTTTGTAAACTAACGTTGACTTTGTTGCATGTCTCTGCCCTTTGTTGCATGTCTCTGCAAGTCAGAGAAAATAATTGTCCAATTTTAATCTTCCATCCCAGACTAGGCTGCCGGGTCAGAAGAGTCTGGAAAGACCATCGCTGAGCTCCTGCCCACTAGAACTGTCAGCTTGGTTACTCAAAAAGATGGTCTTCGGCTCTCTGCTGTGAGGGAGAACGACGTGCACCCTCTTTGTTTAATTAAACATTTTATTTGAGATAGTTGTAGATTTGCATGTGGTTATAAGAAAATATACAGACACATCCTTGTGTACTCTTTACCTAGTTTCCCCAATAGTAAAATCTTCCAATACCCTAGTGTGATGTCACAACCAGAAGCGCCACATGGGTTCTGTCAAGGTACAGAACATTTCCTTCCCCACAAGACTCTTCTTGTTCTCCTTATAGCCACACCCACCTCCCTCCCCCTGTCCCCATCCTCCGCCCCTTATCCCTGGATTCTACATTTCTATAAACTTGTCATTTATAGAAACATTATATAAATGGAAACACACAGTATGGAACATTTTTGTAGTGGCTTTTTTTTTTCCAGTCAGCATAGATCCCGGGAGATTCACCCAGGCTGCTGCATTTTTACTGCTGCGTAGCACATGTGATATGGATGGACCACGGCCTGTTTAGTCATTTACCTGTTGAAGGACATAGGTTTTTTCTTTTCCAGTTTTTGACTATTATAAATAAAGCTGCTGTAAGAATTTGTGTACAGGTTTCTGTGTAAACATAATCTTCATTTCTTTGGGATAAATGCCCAGGAGTGTGAATGCCACATCACACAACAGTTGCATATTCAATTTTATAAGAAACTGTCAAACTGTTCTACAGAGTGACTAGACCATTTTACATTCCCACCACTGATGTATGAGTAATTCAGTTTTTTTGTATCTTCACCTGTACTTGGTGTTGTCATTATTATTATTTTTTAGCCATTTTCATAGGTGTTTAATATGTCATTGTGGTTTTGTATTTCCCTAATGGTTAAAAATACTGAACATCTTTCCACATGCATATCTGTCATTTGTATATCTTCTTCTGTTCATGTCTTTTGCCCATTTTCAAATTGGATTGTTTGTTTCTGCACTGTTGAGATTTGAGTGTCCTTTATACATTCTAGATACTAGTCCTTCGTTTGATATGTACTTTATAAATATTTTCTCCAAGTCTTTAGCTTGTCTTTTCATCTTTTAAACAGGGTCTTTCAGTGTACAAGTTTTCAATCTTGATGAAGTCCAATTTACCAATTTTTGTTTCGTATGAGTCATACGATGTCAAGTTTAAGAAATTCTTCACTAGTCCTCTATCACAAAGGTTTTCTCCTATGTTATTTTCTAAAAGTTTTACCCAGTTGCAGAGGATCTCCTCTTTTCCTAAATTTGCTGAGTTTTTATCATGAATTGGTGATGGATTTTGTCAAATGCTTTTTCTGTATCATTTAACATGATCATATGATTTTTCTCCAATTGATATGATGGATTACAGTAATTGATTTTTGAATGTTAAACTAATCTTGCATACCTGAACTAAATCCCACTTGTTCTAGGTATAATTCTTTTAATATACTTTGGATTAGATTTGTTGAGGGCTTTTGTATCTAAGTTCATGACAGATATTAGTCTGTAGTGTTTGTTTTGTATTATTTTGGTCTGGTTTTGGTATCGGGGCAATACCAGTTTCCATGATCACTCTCCTCAACCTCTGGCAATCACTCAGCTACCCTGCATTTCTAAAATTTTGTCATTTCAAAAATGTTATATAAATGAAGTCTTGCAATATGTAACCTTTTTTTGCTCAACATGGCTACTCCTTTTCAATATGATTGGAAAGTTGCTTTTAAAGGATATCCATCAGTTGTACTAGAGACCATCAAACTGTACCTGCTTTATCATGGTTAGATTTAAACTAGTGCTTCTCGTCTTTTAAAAAAACCTCAGGGCAAATGTTTATCCCTGAATAAGTATGCCTGTACAAAACTTATCATGATTTACGCTCTTTAACATGACTTAAGGCAGATATGTAAAAAATATTTTGTCAACATCACTCTGATCCTAAGGTTTATTGGTAGTAGGTTTTAGGGAGACCAACAGCTATGATGTTCACTCAACTACATAAACTCTACTTGATATAGTCATGTTACAGCCCAGTGGAGCCTGGAATAATGATATTCCTAGAAATCTATCAAGATATCTACAAAACTAACTTGCTAATTTTTTTATTCAACTAAAAAGTAAAACCAATTGAGTAAATGAAGACACCGGGACAGAAGATACCTATTTTAGAATCCCAATTGTAGAAATTCCTTGAAAAAAAACTTTTGTTACTGATAATTCTATGGTCTACTTAACTTCTTTCTCTACTTCTGATTCTTCATTTACTGGTGAAGTCCTTACAGTAACAGGTTCTAAGTTTTCAAGAAGGTCAAATTTTCAAATGCCTGGAGTTTCTCATCAGATAAAAGTTCATCTTCCTGTACAGAGACTCATATTCACTTCTACTCACCTGTTCTCATATTGAAATTTCGCCAAGATGTCTTTGGCTTTGGTTTGACTGTTGAGTTGAATGGCCATGGACACCTTGGAGAGAAGGGGTGCATGGATCCTTATGACTCCCTCCGGCACGTCAGACTGCCAAGGAGGAAACATGCGGTACATTCTGTTAAACTCAATGATTACACTTAAGAGACATGAAAATCAGTGGCATTCCAAATTAGGGAAACATGTAAACATGACCAGGATTTAACCAGAATGAAACATTGCTTTCTTCCTAACAGGAGATTCACTAATGACTAAACTTAATCTGGGATTTTACTTTTGTTACAGGCTTAGATCTCACTATAATGCCTTAAAATCATGAGGGAAGAAAACTGGGTTGTGTTCATTGCAGCACTATTTACAATAGCCAGGACATGGAAGCAACCTAAGTGTCCATCGACAGATGAATGGATAAACAAGATGTGGCACATATATACAATGGAATATTATTCAGCCATAAAAAGAAACGAAATTGAGTTATTTGTAGTGAGGTGGATGGACCTAGAGTCTGTCATACAGGGTGAAGTAAGTCAGAAGGAGAAAAACAAATACCATATGCTAACACAAATATATGGAATCTAAAAAAAAAAAAATGGTTCTGATGAACCTAGGCGCAGGACAGGAATAAAGTCGCAGACGTAGAGAATGGACTTGACACGGGGATAGGGAAGGGTAAGCTGGGACGAAGTGAGAGAGTGGCATGGACATATATACACTACCAAATGTAAAATAGATAGCTAGTGGGAAGCAGCTGCATAGCACAGGGAGATCAGCTTGGTACTTTGTGACCACCTAGAGGGGTGGGATAGGGAAGGTGGGAGGGAGACGCAAGAGGGAGGGGTTATGGGGATATATGTATGCATACAGCTGATTCATTTTGTTACACAGCAGAAACTAACACACCATTGTAAAAAAAATTAGCATGTTAAAAGCAATAAAGATGTTAAAAAAAAATGTTAAAAGCAATAAAGATGTTAAAAAAAAAATCTGGGTTGTGACAAAAATCTAATGTTTTTATCAGTGCATTTTCTTGAACAATGTCCTAAATAAGCCTACCTGAAGTAGGATTCTGTATTTCAATTTATTTTAAGAAAATCAACCTTCTGAAAAATTTAAGGATCTAATTGAAAAATGTGGCTTTTCAAATATTCTTTTTCTTTAGTCAGTAGCAATGAATGGTCACTCCAAATTGAATTCCAGATGGGCACCAAACTTGATTCTTCAAAGTGTCCTATTAACACTGTGAAGAATGGAGTGTGGACAGCTGTTGGGGAAGAGTGTCCCTGCTTTCAGGTGCTCTGATTGGCTTGGGGACCTCAGAGCTCTCATCTAAATGAAATATTCAAAGAATGGTGCTGTCTAATTAACAATAAAGTCTCTTTTGTTAGAATTGAATGGAAAATTCCTTTTGTTTCAAAACCTTGAATGTTTTAAAAATTAATTCTCTATTTGGAGATAAGCAGAAATAAATTTCTATTTGAGGATCTGGCTACTCTTCAGGTAATTATTTTAAATCTGTGTTCTCAAGGGACAATACTGTTGGTGTAGTTTTATGTGAATTGACTCAGTATATCCCCTAGAAAAAATGTGTTATGGATTGAATTGTGTCCTCCCTCCCACCCCCAACCAAATATGTTGAAGTCCTAAGCCCAGGACCTCAGAATATGACCTTTTTTGGAAATAGGGTCATTGCAAATGTAATTAGCTAAGACGAGGTTCAAATTGGAGCACGGCGGGCCCTTAATCCAATGTGATTGGTGTCCGTATAACAGGACACACACACACACACACACAGGGTGAATGCCATACAAAGATGGAGGCAGAGATTGGAGTGATGCATCATCTGTAGGCTAAGGAAGGCTAAGGACTCCTGGTGTCACCCAAAGTTAAGAATGATGTCAGAAACACGTTCTCCTTTCACGACCTTCAGAAGGAACCAACTGAATCAACACCTTGATTTTGGAGTTTTAGCCTCCAGAACTGTGAGAGAGTAAATTTCTATTGTTTTAATCCACCCTGGTATTGTTACTGCAGCACTAAAAAGTAGGAAACTACTTTTTAAGGGTCAGTTCTAACAGTACTTTTCTACTATTACCTGTGAGAAGCAGGAGAGCATGCCAGGGAATGGCAGTGAGTGGTTTAGAGCTGGGAGGGGGCAGGGAGCCCCTGGTTCACTGCAGTCAAAAGCACCCTCCCAAAACACTCCTGTGGGCATCTCACGTCCGTCCCCTGCCAGCTCCACAGAAGCCTCTTAAGATAAATTTCACACTCCTGATATCATTGAGCCAGTTATAATGATCACATTTTCCCTCTAACTTTCTAGAGTATTCACTCTTGTCAACAGAATGTCTAACCACAAATTCTGAGTCATCAATTAGTTGAGTCCTTATACATTCCTTCATGTGCTACACTGGAAATGTCAAGTTTGAAGGTGTATCATGAGCAAAATTATACACAGATGAGGTGGATATAGCCAAAGAATACTGTGTAAGGAGTTAATAATTAGGGAGGAAAGGAAATGATTTGTTTTCTTACCATTCTTCTTGTAGAGGGTGATTTTTGTAGTACCTTTGAAGTCTTGGGGCTTATAACCTAAATAAAAAACAGTTAGTCTTTAGGATTAACGTTGAGAAAACAAGCATATGCTGCTGTTGGAAGTGTAAACTGGTACAATCTTTATGGATAACATTTTGGCAATATTTATCAAATTATAAAATGCATATGCACTCTGACCCAACAATTCCACATCTATAACTTTATCCTTCAAATAGACTTCATTTGTGAGAAATGACATATGAACATGTTTATTCACCAATGCATAAACTTTAATAGCAAAATATTGGACACAATCTAGCTGTTCAATGATACGGGAATACTTAAATAAGTTTCAGTGTGTCTATGGAATACCATGCAAAAGAAGCAAAGAAGAAGGCTGTGGACTGATGTGGAATAATCACCATGATTTCATAAGTCATTAAAGAAGATGCAGGACAGTGTTTCAAGTATGTTATCATTCATGTAAAAAAAAGGGGGAAGACCATATATTCGTATTTGCTTGTATGTCATAGTGTCTCTCTGGACATATATGTACCTGTGTGTTCCTGTGCACACACATGCTGTCATTGGTTGTTGACATTACTTGTGTTCAGGAGGGGAAGTCAGAGATGGTCAACTTTTATTCTATAGTTTTTCCCCTTCCAATATTTTGAATTTTGTAAACTGTCAATGAATTGTCTATTCCAATCAAAGTCAGGAAGTAAAAACATAGTATAGTACAACAGAACTGAAGAAAGACTATTTCTTCATCTGTAAGCGCTTGCTTTCATGGTACTTATAGCCTTTTAAAATTTTACTTAGTTCTATTTATAATTAAAACATTAAAGCAACTGACATTCATATAGCATTATACAGTTGACCTAGTGCTTTACACCCACATTATGTGAGTTGATGCTAATGACAACTCTGTGAAATAGATATCATTACTTTTTTCCCCAAATTGAAAATGCTTTTTTAAAAATTTTGTTGGAGTATAGTTACTTTACAATGTTGTGTTAGTTTCTACTGTACAGCAAAGTGAATCAGCTATATGTATACCCATATCCCCTTTTTTTTTTATTTCTTCCCCATTTAGGTCACCACAGAGCATTGAGCTCCCTGTGCTATACAGTAGGTTCTCACTAGTTATCTATTTTACACATAGTATCAATAGTGTATATATGTCAATCCCAATCTTCCAATTCATCACAACCCCCCATCCCCCTTGGTATCCATACGTTTGTTCTCTGCATCTGTGTCTCTATTTCTGCTTTGTAAATAAGATCTTCTATACCAATTTTTTCATATTCCACATATATGTGTAAATATATGATATTTGTTTCTCTCTTTCTGATTTACTTCACTCTGCATGACAGAATATTGAGGCTCTGAGAAAGAATTTAATTTGCCCTGGCTCACAAAGACTGACCTGACCCCAGCTTCAGCTCCACACACATCATACTTAGGCCGTTGAAGTTTTCCAGAATGAAAATGGCAGAGTAAGGACTCCAAAAGTCTGTCCCTCCATAAAAGTAATGAACAAACTGCCAAAAACTGTCATTGTCAACTTCTTCAGAACTCTGGAAACTAACCCAAAAGTTGCAGCCTGGGGAGTGCTTACGTAAGAAAAACAGCTGAATCTTGATAAGAGTGAACTTTGTGGCATTTTAACTTACACTTTCCCATCTCAGCTCCACAGTTCAGCGACAGCCTTAAAAATAACAGCCTGCGTTCCTGGTATAGGTACTGAAGGGAGCAGAATGGACCTCATTCACAAAAAATTCTAATTATTTGTTCCCTGGAAGACTGGCTTGCCTTTAACTTGCCTAACTTGGAACTTGACCAGTGCTAAAGCGGTGTAATGTTGAAAACATTTACAGGCAAATGTTTTAATCACTGCTGCCTGATGTAGTGGGTAAGAGTTGGGGGAAAAAATAACTAACGAAAAAATCTTGGGAGGCAAGCCTAGAGAATGAGATGCTTTGGGGAATAAGGTCTTTGAACAGCTCCAACATATACCTGAGAATCTAGAAGGACATGGGCATGCCCAGGGCTGTACACATATTCAGGAAAGACCTGAAAAGAACTTAAGCTCTCACCTCTGGCTGACCTTTAAGCTCTGTCCAAACAGGAACTGAAGGTTCAGGTCAAGTTGTAAACTGCCTGGCTGAATACTGAAGGTGTGTCAAGCACACAAACACACAGAGCTCGTCTGCAAAGACTGGGAGATTTTTTTGGTTTCAGATATTTAAGATAATCTCTGTGCAAACATCAGCTAACCACTAGGCTAATGGAACAGAGACTTCAGTAGCCACACTAAACAAAGAATATAGACATAACAAAATTAGTTCAGCAGAAAAGTCATGAACAAATAAATAACAGCTATAACAAGCAGCAACCAGGGGGAGGGGGAAGAATCCAAAGCTGCCACATTTTAACATTCAAAATGTCCATTCTTCAATAAAAATTATGAGACAGGCAAAAAAAAATGGCAAGAAAATATGGCCCGGACTTCCCTGGTGGTACAGTGGTTAAGAATCCGCCCGCCAATGCAGGGGACACAGGTTTGAGCCCTGGTCCAGGATGATCCCACATGTCGCAGAGCAACTAAGCCCGTGCGCCACAACTACTGAGCCTGCATGCCACAACTACTGAAGCCTAGAGCCTGTGCTCCGCAACAAGAGAAGCCACTGCAATGAGAAGCCCGCACAGTGCGACAAAGAGTAGCCCCCGCTCGCCGCAACTAGAGAAAGCCCTCGTGCAGCAACGAAGACCCAACGCAGCCAAAAATAAATAAATTAAATAAATTAATTTAAAAAAAAAGAAAATATGGCCCATACACAGGAAAAAAAAAGTTAGTGTCAATAGTTTCAAAAGAAACTCCTTAAGGAAGCCTAGACATTGGACGTACTTGAAAAAGCTATTTTAAATACTTTAAAAGAACTAATGGAAACTGTGTCTAAAGAACTAAAGAAAACCATGAGACTGATAGCTCACCAAATAGAGAATATCAAATAAAGAGAATACATCATAAAAAGAAACCAAAAAGAAATTATGGAGCTAAAAAAAGTCCAATTGAAATGAAAAGCCTACTACAGAGGTTCAACAGCAGATTTAAGAAAGCAGAAGAAGGAATTCCCTGGTGGTCCAGTGGTTAGGACTCTGCGCTTTCACTGTTGAGGATCTGGGTTCAATCCCTGGTCAGGAACTAAGATCCCACAAGCTGCACGATGTGGTCAAAAAAAAAGCAGAAGGAAAAAATCAGCAAATCTGAAGATAGGTCATTTGAGGTTATCCAGTCTTGAAACAGGAAGAAAAAAAAATGAAGAAAAATGAACAGAACCTAGAGGAACTGTGGAACAACACCAGCACACCAACGTACACACAGTTAGAGTTCCAGAAGGAGTAGAGAGAAAGGAACAGAAAGAACGTTTGAAGGAACAATGGCTGAAAACTCCCCAAATTTGCTGAAAGACAATGATCTATGTATCCAAATAGCTCAACAAACTCCAAATAGGATAAAATCAAAGAGATCCACACCAAGAAACATCATGATCACACTGTCAAAAGACAGACATAAAGAGAGACCCTTGAAAGCATTAAGAGAAAAATCAATTCAAGTACAAGAGCTCCTCAATAATAATAGCTGATCTCCCAGCAGAAACCATGGAAGCCAGAAGACACTGGGGTGACATATTAAAATTGTGAAAAAAAAAAAATATTGACAAGCAAAATTCCATCTGGCAAAACAGTCCTTAAAAAATGAAGACTGGGAGTTTGGGGTTGGTAGATGCAAACTATAACATTTAGACACTCCCTTGATAAGCAAAAGCTGAGAGAGTTCACTGCTAGCAGACCTACGTTAAGAGAAATGCTAAAGAGAGTCCTTCAAACTGAAATGAAAGGACACTAGACAGTAACTCGAATCCACATGAAGAAATAAAGAATATCAGTAAAGGAAATTACTTAGGAGAATATAAAAGGCAATATAATGTATTTTTTGTTTATAACCTCACTTTTCCCTTATCTAATGTAAAAGACAAGTACATGACAATTATAAATTTATGTCGATGGGCACACAATTTATAAAGCTGTAATATGCAGCAATAACAGCATAATGTGGGGGGACAGAAGAATATAGGTAGAAAGTTTTTATATACTTAAGGTGTATTAATATGAACTAGATTGTTATAAATTAAGATGTTACTTATAATCCCCAGGGCAACCACTAAAAAGATGATTCAAAAATATATAGTAAAAAACAACAACAAAAGAATTAAAGTGGTACACAAGAAAATATCTATTTTACACAAATGAAGGCAGTAATGGAGAAACTGAGGATTAAAACATGTAAGACATATAGTCCAAAATTAAATAACTGAAGGGAAAAATAGAAAGTTCTACAATAGTTGGAGACTTCAATACTTCACTTTCAATAATGGATAGAAGAAGTAGGTAGAAGATCAGAAAGAAAACAGAAGACTTAGACAACACTATCAACCAACTAGATCTAACAGACATATATAGGACAATGACAGCAGAATCCATTCTGAAGTACACATAAAACACTGTCCAGGATAGACATATGTTGGACCACAAAACAAGTCTCAGTGAAGTTTAAAATATCAAAATAATACAAAGTATGTTACATAACCACAATGGAATAAAATTAGAAATCAGTAACAAAAGGAAATTTAGAAAATTTACAAATATGGAAATCAAACAACACATACCTAAATAACCAATGGACCTAAGGGAAATTAGAAAAGACCTTGAAATGAACAAAAATGAAACACAACACACCAAAACTTACTGGATGGAGGAGAAGTAGTCCTCAGAGGAAAATTTATAGATGTAAATGCCTATGTTAAAAAGAAAGATCTCAAATTAATAGCCTAACCTTCCGCCTTAAGAAACTAAAAAAGCCAGCTAAACTCAAAACAAGCATAAGGAAGGAAACAATACAGATCTGAGTTTTAATAAGGACTAGAGAATAACAAAAAACTAGAGAAAATAATGAAACAAAAGTTGGCTCTTCAAAAAGACCAATGAAATGGACAAATCCTTGGTTAGACTGACCAAGAAAAGAGAGAGGATTCAAATTATTCATCAAGAGTATAACTGGGGACATTACTACAAACCTTATACAAATAAAAAGGATTATAAGAGAATACTATGAACAATTTGTATTTCAACAAATTAGATAATCTAGCTAAAACAGATAAAATCCTAGAAACACAAAAACTGTCAATACTAACTCAAGAAGAAATAGAAAATCTGAATAGAGCTATAACAAGTAAAGAACTTAAGTCAGTAATCCCCCAAAAAAAAAAAAATTCCTACAGAGAAAAGTCCAGGACCAGATGGTTTCACTGGTGAATTTTACCACACATTTAAAGAAGAAGTAACACTAATCTTTCTTAAACTCTTCCAAAAAATTGAAGAGGAAGGAGCACTTCCCAACTCATTCTATAAGGCCAGTATTACCCTGATACCAAAGCCAGACAAAGACATAGCAAGAAATGAAAAACTACAGACCAGTGTCCCTTATAAAAGTTGATGCAAAAATTCTCAACAAAATACTAGAAAGTCAACATAGAGTTGCCATATGACCCAACATATGCCCAAGAGAAATGCAACACAAATGAAAAATAAGAAGTGAAATACTGATACATGCTACAACATGGATGAACCTTGAAAACATTATGCTAAGTGAAAGATGTCAGACATAACAGGCCACATACTACATGCTTCCATTTATATGAAATGTCCAGATAGGTAAATTCATAGAGCTAGAAAGTAGATAAGAATGTGTCAGGGATTGTGGGGAGGGGGTAATGGGGAGTGAATGCTTAATTGGTATGGGGTTTCTCTTGGGGGGTGGTAAAGATAGTCTGGAATTAGATAGTGGTGATGGTTGCACAACTTTGTGAATATACTAAAAGTATATACTAAATTTTATACATTTTGAAATAGTTAAAATGGTAACTTTTATATTATGTGAATTTTTTCTCAAAACAAAATTTTTTTCCCAAATTTAATGTGCTGGTTCTAGTTGATCTGAAGTCACTTTGCCTATAATCAATGAGGGAACACAGCCATTCAGCCTGTTTGTGATAAATCAATTAGCAATACTCCTACCTTACTGCCTTGGGATTTACTACTCCTTTCCCTGAATGAACTTTCCCCTCCTTTCTCCCTTCCAAATGCTACTACCCATCCTTGAAGATGCAGCTCAAATGCCACTTCCTCCGTGAAGTCTGCACACTTTCCACGTTGGAGCACATTTCTTTCTCCTCTGCATGATTCCCAGCACACTGTCTGTACGACACGTTTCACACTGAATGCATATTCATGGCTCTTGTGTACATTTCTCTACCAGATATTTCTCTACTAGATATACGTTCCTTTAAGGACAAAGTGAGTTTCCTGTATCTCTACATCCTCCTCAAGGCCAAATGCTATGCCTCACGATCATCCTCAAATTAAAGCAATAAAGATAATTCTAAAGCCTGTTTCCATTATCCATCTCCACACAGACAACCGTGCTAAGGCAAACATTCTTTGAAATGTAATGAATTTACACAAAACAACTTGAGGATTGCATATTCTTTTAGTATCCAATCACTACAGAAATCTCTATCTCTACTTATTAGATATATTGACTACTGGATTGCCCTTAAATCCGGTTCACAGGGACTGAAATGTTGACTTTCAGCATTTGTAAGAATCATTTTGCCCTTAAGTAATCTTCATGACAGAGATAATTCAAAAACTTCAGCTGCAAATCACATAATTCAACAAAATGTAAAGACCACAGTACTCTGTCATGAACACAATTTCCACAGTGTTTATAGTTATAAGACTGACACTTTATGAGAATATAACAATTTTGGTTCTAAATTACAAGCTACTTTGTGCATCACTGTGAGAAATAAGAGCCTGGGTGGCCATGATATTTGTGCATTTATTTAGTTATTACCCCTCGTTCTATGGTCTTCCTCCTTAGCAGCTTTTTGACACTTGGAAGCTGTTTCTTTAACAACATCGTGGCTTCATTCATTCTTCTGACTTGAGCGATTAAGAAAGATGGAACCTGGAGAAGAAACAGAGCTTGACTAGAAGGAAAACACTTGAGTTAAACCTCCCTGGTAGAGTCTGTCTTCTGGCCACTCAGTATCCAGGAACCAGGAACTGTGGTTCTGTCCTCATAAAGATTAGGAAAATCTATGAGGATTCCTGTTTAAAGGAAAATGTGTTCGGAGCAGCCTTAAGGAATGATAAAGATGCCACCAGCAACCTGGGATTACTGTCTCCCACCTCTCCCTGTGCCTGAGGGCAGTGCTTGCTCATGAGTCTTTACATCTCCTGGGCGCTAGCAGACATGAGAACATCCTAGTCGTCACATTGTCACTCACCTTCCACAACATCTCCTGGTACTTTAGCATCAAGCGGATGATGTGGGCAGCGGTGTTTGCTAAGAGTAATTCTTCACAGTCAGAATGTTTGCTTCTACTGAAGAAAAGATTTGGTGCCATTATAGTAGAAATGTTCCATATACTCATCCGGTTTTTTGATTCGTTGGCAATGACTTTATTGAAGAATGTCATGAGGGCCTGATAGGAAACAGCACAGTGTCACTCTAGTCATTGTAAATTAGGAAGAGGCATCACTGATTACTATCACTCATTTCCATACCCGTTCACTGGGCCTCTGGAAAATTGTCGGAGCTACAGAATGGCTGAATGTATCATGTGTCCCCTCTAACTGCTTAAAAGTACTAATGAGAAATGTGAAGAGTTTTTTCATTTCTCTGCTTCATAAAAGTAGCTCCATTTTTATGGAATTTGTTATGTTGGGATCTCTATAAATAATAGTTTGCATTTTCTTATTTTCTTTTATCTTAAACAAGCTTGACAAATATTAAAATTAAACAGTAAACAAGGGAGAGAAAGCACTACAGCTCAAATAAACATGAAATGCAGTTTTGTCGTGAAGGTAGAAAAGTAATTCACTCTTAATTTAAGGCATTACTGTTAAAAATTATTTTGTTTCCTTGGGAATGGAAAGTCCATTGAAAAAAATGAGTTTTAAAATAAATAAGTTATGAAATAAATGTCACGGGGATATAACATACAGCATGGTGACTACAGTCAATACTACGGTATTGCATATTTGAAAGTTACAAAGAGTAAATCTTAAAAGTTCTCTCAAGAAAAAAATTTTTGTAATGGTGATGGAGGATAACAAGATTTCCTATGGTGATCATGTTGCAGCGTATACAAATATCAGAACATTATGTTGCTTACTTGAAATTAATATGTTATATGTCAATGACACCTCAATAAAAAATTTAAAAATAAAGAAAAAAATTAAAGAATAAAAACAACAAAATAAGTATCTCATTCCTCACTTCAAAAATATCTCAGTCAAAAAGCTGAAAACTTTCACTTTTTGGGTGTCATTTTTGTACTGCTTTTCAATTTTGGAATCTTCAGCAGACCAAAGGGAAATGATTACATGCACCTGTGCTCAGCATTAAAAAAAATTGAGAAAGCTTAATAAAAGTTTGGCTGAGCCACCAAAGTATAAATGCCTATCAGAACTTTCTAAAATTCACCAAGAGGGCTGAAATCCTAAAAGGAGATGCTCTTTGGTTTTCCAAGTTTGAATTCTGCTATAGTATGTGTAATGAGAAAATGGACAGCACATACTAGTGATAACAGCTAACATTTATTTGAGGGTTTACTGTGAGCCAGGCATTATTCTTAGTACTTTATATACTCCTACTCATTTTATCATCATTCCAAACCCTGTGAGGTAGGTACTATTATTGTTTTACAGATGAGGAAACTAAGATGGGGAGGGATTAAGTAGCTTTGCCCAGCGTCACTTAATTAAGTGGCAGAGCCAGGATCTGATCCAAGGAAGCCTAATTCTTGAGCCAGACATCTTGATCTCTACAACACACTAGCTTCAATCTTCATTCCAGTCACAATTCAGAATGGAAGAGGGAGGGAGAGAGAGAGAGACAGAGAGGATCTTCTGTTAGGAATGTACTAAATTCTTTGATAATTGCTACATTCTTAGTTATATGAAAGGGGAAATGACACTTTGACTCAGATATCTGATACTAGATTCATTCCTTTGGATAAAAAAAAAAAAAAGCATTGTTCAGACAAAGCCAAACAAACAAAAAAAAGCTAGTAAATTTCCAGCTTTTGAAAAATACCAAATTGTATTAAAACAGACATTCTTATGCCTTTGCCAGTCCCCATTCTTGGGTGGAGGATATAATATAATTGACATAGATGGTTTCACCTTGGTAGAAGGAAAGGTCCTCACCAAACTGAAATGTCTGACAAGAGGTAGCACGAAGACTCATCTTTGTTTTCAGCATCATGTTTACTGGCCTCAAAATTATAACTCTTTCCAACTCATCCTCACCTCAATTTCATTTTAAAGATTCCAAGCACCTGGGGCTTCCCTGGTGGCGCGGTGGCTGAGAGTCCGCTTGCCGATGCAGGGGATGTGGGTTCATGCCCCGGTCCGGGAAGATCCCACATGCCGCGGAGCGGCTGGGCCCGTGATCTGGGGCTGCTGAGCCTGCGCGTCCGGAGCCTGTGCTCCGCAACGGGAGAGGCCGCAACAGTGAGAGGCCCGCATACCGCAAAAAAAAAAAAAAAAAAAAAAAAAAAAGATTCCAAGCACTTGTTGTACTTATAACAGATTTCCTATTGTATACAGAATCATTATCAAAACAGCAACAGAAACTTTGATTTTTACAAACATAAAGCAGAGAAATGAATTTGAAATAAAAGGAGGGATATTTGGGATGGAGAACTATGGAATACAATTCTATCAAATGTTCTATTTTATATTAATGGAGAAATCACTTTTCTGAGCTTAATTTTCTTAATCTGGAAAATGGCAAGGTCCTATCAGGTGATCTGTAAACTTCTGGGATTCTATAATTCTTTAAATTGGATTATGGTAAGACATGAACATTCTAGAAATTTTATTTAAAGCAGGGGTTTCATTCACTCTGACATTATTCCATTTAAGTCTTCCATCTTTGCTTCTTCTTCCTACTCCTAACCCTCGCCCAGTGCCTGGCACACTGTAGATGCTCAACATCTCTTAACAGGTTGAATGAACGAAACAAATGTTCAAAGAAGATTCCAGGATTCACATTCTTTCCTGGCTTCCTCAGGAGAACAGCGGTGGGAACAAGGAAAGGCAGCGGGTTTGCTGCAGGCTCAGCTGGTTGGTAAGTTGTCCTCTCAGTTTTCATTTTTCCACCTGAGCCATTTCCTCTGACCAATAAGAGTCAATGACAGACCATGAGGTCGATACAACATACCTGGGCTGTGTCCCTGTTGGCCTCAGGCAGTGCCATGATCATGAGGTGTAAGGCTTGAAACTGTACTTTGATGTGAGGCCCTCCTAACAAGAAAACAGAAATAACCACACATTTTGAACAACGCTCATGCATTCTGACAGCATTTCTTGCTAACATCTGGTGGCATACGAGGACCCTGACAGCTTTCAGTGGTAAAGACTCAGGTTTTGTGACTGACAATGTAAGTCTGTTCACTTGGACAGGAGCCTCAGTCTATCAACTCCTTTTTAGCATCCTAGGATGCCACTGTAGGGGCAGGTGGCCAACGAGATCCTCAAAATTATTCTGGATCTGTATAACATTTCTCTTTTCAAAGTACTTTCATAGATCTTGCTTTACTTTTATGCTATAAACAGTTGGCTTGAAGTTCAATTCAAGAGAAAATAAATTTTATTTCCATACAATGATGCAGCCAAGCATAATAATTAGAAGCAGAGATTCTAGAACCAGATTCAAATTCTGCACGTACTATTTAGTCACTGAGTGACCTTGGGCAGGCTATCTAACCCCTGTTGCTTCTATTTTATCATCCATAAAATGGGAATCATCATCATACCTACCTCACTGGGCCATTATGAAGGTTAAATGAGCTAATGTACAGAGTGTTTACACCAGTACCTGTACATAGCTACCTCCATAGGTGTTTGCTCTTGTTATGATCAGTGACGTTTATTTTAGCTCTTAAATGGACATGAAAGGGAAGGTAACCACAGTTGGATCTTTGGAGATCCAGAAGATGGCACCAGAGAGTTGGCATTCTACTACTGTGTGTTCTCAATATTGGCTCTTTTCCCATTTTAGGGAAAGGATTTTAGGAAATCTATCCACAACTGGATAATTCACAGCCAGCTGTGCTGAAAACGTAGGGTATTCCAGAGCATCCAGGCTTTGCCTGTTCTTTCTGTATTCTCCCCAAAATGGCCTCTTGGTAGGGAGGCCCTGCAGGGAAGCATGACGTTCTGTAACCCCCGGGGAGCTCTCAAGTTGAAGGAAAATCTATCCATTTATGACTCCGTGGATAAAGGCAGTCAGCTGCCTATAGAGTTACTTAGCTTTACAGTAGTGGAAACACTCTCGTGACAAACTACTAGGTCACAGGAGGTCGTGTGCATCCGAGTTAGGAGTACATGATTATTGTGTGTAACCACGTAATGAAGGAACAGTTGGGAGGAGTATTTATAGGCTCATATCGTATTGTCTCAGCACAATCCCCATGTGGATTTTTAAAAATTTATGTCAAATTTGTAAACAAAAATGACACAGGTTCAGGTTGTTTTTGAAAATGGCTAATGCACACTGATGTGAGTTTGCCTGAATAACAGGCACTAGCAGGAGTATATCTCAGTACAAAGCATTTGGGGACAGATAAGACATTATTTTAGTGCATAAATTGCAGGCTAAGGGCTGTCTATAATTTTCCAATGCAACCCAAAAAAACCTCTGGGGGGAAACAATAGATGCAGATGCAGGCTCTCTATTTCCATTAATTCCAGATAAATTACCAAGTTCCCTTTAAGATTAAAAATCTAAACTGGCAAATAATCCATTTTCATTTTGCTTAGAAAACCCAGCCCTACACTGTTTTGTGGTTAATAGTTTTGTAGTTAATTCGTTTATTGCACCCTGGTTAAGAGTCATTTTTTTCACTCCTGAGGTCATTATTTTCTCAGAAAGTTATTCAACTTTTCATGAAAGTATCTAAGGTTTGATTGATGAACTATTAGTCTTTTAATTTTATGGGCAATTTTTGGACCAAGTTTGAAAAGAGAAAAGAGACAGTAATTACACTAGTGGAAAAGACTACATTCTCTGACCTCCGTTTTAGAGTAAATACAGGGGCAGCTTAAACACACAGATGTCCACAGTTCTTCCCTTCAGAAAATCTCATTACAACGAGAGCTTACTCCAGGTGGCAAAAAGGCCATTCTTCCCGATGGCAGCAGCCCAGAACGCTGGGCTTCCTGTGGGGTTGGCTAGTTATCAAATCAATCACGACAATATACTATTTTTCACTTTCAAAGTCATACAAATAAATGCGGATCGTCCTGTGAAACTTTTCAGGATATTTTCCAGATTCTCTCCCTTCATTGAAGTGTACTGGCTTCAACATCTGAATAATGATATTAAGAAAAACTTAATATGATTTAATTAATATGATTTCCTTCTTAAATATGATTCTCCAAACAGGTTTTACATGGTGATTGACTCTTCCTTGTATAATTCCATAAGACCAAAAAAAGAAAAACTAAAACAAAAAAATCCTCTGTGGCACCATTTGTTTTGATGAATTGTTCAGTATATAAACTGCAGATCAAAGTGAAGTTAAGACTTCTGCAGGCTGTTTTCCAGGACAGCAAACTTTACAGAAGATCCTGTGTTTCTCTGACTTAGAAACAGAGGGAGGGAGTTCTGTTTCTGGTATGGCTGAGTAAGCTCCTACCCAATCAACCCTCCTTAAGACAACTGTACACTCTGGACAATGTACAAAAAACAACTACCTGAGGCAGTGGAGAATGAACAAAAGCAGGCAGATTTAGGAGGGCATTGGACACTTGGCATTAGGGAATGGCACAGGGAGACTGTCCAATTTCCTGGCTTTTAGTTTGAGGTCAGGCCATAGACAGTAATGGCATGAGGTGGCTGAAATTCCAAAAGAAAATCCCAATCTTTCTGGCCTGAACAAAGAGAGGGCAGGGTTCAGGAGGACCACAGACACTGGGAAGTTATGGGGAATCCCAGAAAGGGAAGGTCAAGATATAGAAGGCCCTAATTCTGGTGTAAAATCCACCCAAATGATGGCTCACCCCATAAACCATACATATGTGGAGTAGCACAGGTAAGTATTAAATAGCAAATTGTCTGCTTAAATACAAACAAAACACAAAACTAACCAAAAAAACCCCACTCCTTGGAGAAATATTACAGAACACAGAGTTTCCAAAAAAATATTCACAAGGTTCTGGATACAGTTTAAACTTACTTGACATAAACAGTGACCCATTTTCAAGGGAAGAGATAGTCAACAGAGACCAACCCTCAGATGACCCAGATGTTGGAACTAGTTATGAAGCAGCTATCATAACTATGCTCAATGATATGAAGGTAAATATGCTTACAATGAATGAAAAGATAGGGAATGTCAGCAGATAAATAGAAAATAGTTTTAAAGTAGCAACTGGAGATTCTAGAACTGAAAATATACAATATCTGAAATAAAAAAGAATGAAGATTCGAGTCCTGGTCTGGGAAGATCCCACATGCCACAGAGCAACTGGGCCCATGAGCCACAACTACTGAGCCTGCACGTCTGGAGCTTGTGCTCCACAACAAGAGAGGCCGTGATAGTGAGAGGCCCGCACACTGCGATGAAGAGTGGCCCCTGCTTGCCACAACTAGAGAAAGCCCTTGCACAGAAACGAAGACCCAACACAGCAAAAATAAATAAATAAACTCCTACCCCCAACATCTTCTTTAAATAAATAAATAAATTAATTAATTAAATAAAATAAAGAATGAAGAGAACTAGTTCTTTCTTTCATAAAACAAAAATACTACATCATACAAAGAAAAGAGATACTGGTCACAGCATGTCAATTAAAGCTTAGAAAAGGACTGCCTTGTGTTATATTCTTTTCTCTGAAGACACAGTGGATTATTTTATGAATCTGGTTTAGTTAAAAATTTTAAAGATTTAGAACCAACTAATTTTTAGGACAAATTTTGTCATACAACTTAGGATGTGACTATTATTTTCTCTGATTGTGATTTTAAGGATTTTATACTTCTGGTCAACCTGCAGAAGGTTGTAAACTGGCAGATACAGGTAATACTTGCTACGCTCATGTAGTGTTTTAAAATTTGAATTTGTGGCTGACATTTTCAAATGAAGAGTTTCGTCATTAAAGCCTGGATTTTGGCTTTCACTCCTGCATGGTAACCATCATCCAGAGCTGAGCAGTGGCCAACCTCTCTATATGGGATATGTCCTCTCAATCTGGCCACAGTCCCTTTCTGTCCATATAGAATCACTTACTTGGCATGCTTATACATATTTAGACTTGTGACTCCTGAATTCTTCAGGTTGGTAGTCAAAGCCCACACTATGTAGCCTCATCCTACTTTTCTAAATTTCTCTCATCACACCTTCTTCAATATTCAACCTTTAGGATGAAATTACTTTCTGACTGCCAAATACAACACACACTGTCCAGTTTCTATACTTTTTATCCAAGTACCTCAGTTAAGGCCTCATCTATGTGACTTTTTAAGTTTCAGAAACACTATGTGATACTGTAATTTTCAGAGACAAAACACCTTCTTACTGCATGCTACATCATCAGACCCAGGACCTCGGATTTAAAGAAGGGAGAGATCTTATATTTTTTGAAGGACTATTATACACCAGGCACTATCCTAGATGTCTTCATTCAATACCCACAACAACCCTGACAAGTAATTATTATCTGTAATTTACAGGTGCAGCAGTGAAGCTTAGAAAGGTTGACTGCATAGTTAACAGATGGTTGAGCAAGAATTCAAATCTCAAGAGCCAGGTCTTTCTGTAACCCTCGCTGCCTTTTAATGATTATAAAACCCTCTAAATCATATCAACCAGACTCAGAAATATAAACATGTGAAGAGATGACAGTTTACCATCAAACTCAATAGCTCATCAAGCAGTACCAGGAAATAGCAAATCTATACACTTATGATCACATCTGATTATGCATATTTCTTCTGCTCTGTGCCACTTTATTGACCTTGTAACTTAGTCCATTCACACTTAACTTCTTCCACCTACTTTCCATTAGAGTGATGAAAGCAGGTATATATTCCACAGGGAAGAGAGAGGTGGGTAGTTCTCTGAAAAATGCTTTCAACATTACTGCAGCTTCTCTGTGGCACATTTTCTCCCATTTAAACTTATCAGCATTAAACTTGGCATCCAGTTCTTCACGGTATTGCTGAAAATCAAGGAAAATAGTGAGTTTTACCACCTGATCCTCCCCCTTTAAAAACTCTCATTACATAAACTATTTTTGTAATTAGATTGAAAAGCTAATATCTACTAAGCTTATCTTTTTTCAACATGATTAAAGAACTGAAATGGCTATTTCTGAATATATCTTTTTAAAGTTTTCTAAAATCCTTTTAGAATAATGTTAATCTTAAAATAATTTGCCATCTATACAAATACAGAAGTTCTTTACTCAGATCATAGTTTCATTTATATGGTTTTGGCAGAACACTGCCTATGCCCACATCATAAATGCACTGCTACATTTTGACAAAGCCTCCACTTCCCCCTTTTCTTCAATGATGCCTTACTTCTGCCACCCCGTCTTCTGTTTCTAAATTAGATCAAGAATGTATGCCTCTTGGCTAGTTCACATACAGAATGAGAAATATCCCAGCAAAGGAACTTTGACCTCACTGCAACATGCACACCAATGATATCTTCCTGGAGCAGTTACAGCAAAGTTTTATGCCAAGACATACACATGTCTTCCACATGTCTGCATGTTTGCCCAATCTTTCGTAAGGTTGGGAACACTGTGTAAATACTTTTTAAAACAATCACTAATCATCCTTAAGTTTTACTTGAGTTATACATTTTACATAATTAATTCATTTGATGACCAGTGCCCCCCATTCTACTGCTCCCTTGAATTAGAGTTTACCAGTAATACCAGGCAGTTATAGTCAGTTTCCCAACTGACAATAACTGCTTCAAAAAGGATTCTTAAAAAAAAAGGGAAAACTCTGAAAATCCTTAAGGCCTTTGCTTTATTCTCATGAGATGCCTAAGTCTTCCAGCCTTGAACATGTAAGAGAAGCTAGAGAACGACAAGGTGAGATTTATCTTTCCTGACAGGTAGGCGGAAAAGTGATTTGGGGGAGCTCAGAGATCGGCACTGGCTGGGAAGCAGGCCAGAGATGCAGAAAGCAGTTATCGGGCTAGGGCACCATTTCTGGTGATGGATCATCGAGGACTTAACCTGGATAAGCAGTTGTAGGATAGAAAGAAGAGGTGGCATTTAAGAAACGCCTAGGAGGGAAAATTCTCAAGAATCAGTAATGGATTGAACATGAGACTCAGAGGGAGAAATAACAGTCCAGGATGACTCTCAGATCTCTAGCTGGAGTAATGGGCAGATGGAGGTGTTGGTAACAGGAAATAGAGGGGGAGGAGTAAATGTTTTCCGTCCACTGCCTGGTACCACTGCCATAAGGCAAAGGGGAAACTGTTTTGCAAGTGGGCAGGAAGTATTGGCAAGAGCAGAATAATTCAAATCCACTGCCCACAGACCTGTGCCACAGGAAGCTACCTGAAACACTAAGGTGATTCTAACCTCTCACTACTTCCCTGCCACCTAAGAGGCAACGTGGCACCAGGGTCAAGGGCAGGCTCTATAACCACATTCTTTAGGTGTTTATCCTAATTCCACAACTGCCTAGTTGTACGCCTGTGAGGTTTCTCGCTCCATAAGAGGGATATTAGGGATTTCCCCAGCGATCCAGTGGTTAAGACTCCAAGCTTCCAATGCAGGGGGCGTGGGTTCGATCCCTGGTCGGGGACCTAAGATCCCACATGTCGTGTGGTGCAGCCAAAATTTTAAAAAATAAATAAATAAAATAAAGTCAAGAGCAATCATATTTTTTTTAAAAGATGGGTATTAGAACAACCTCACAGAGATTAAATTGGATACTACAATGTAGAGCTCAGGGGGCAGGGCCTGCATGCAGAGAGCGCTCAGGAAATGCTGGTTGCACTTACCCTCCCCTCGTCTGGGTCTGCTACAACCTCTAGTATTATTACTACAGGAAACCCATGTGTATGTGGTGTGGATATTCTGGTAATAACAGCACCTCGTCTTGTCTAGACGGCCAGCGTGAGACAAACGGAGAAGTTTGGACCAGAGCACAGTGGAAGTAGAAGCAGAGCTGACATGTCCACAGTGGTCCTAAACATGAAGCCCTATGAACCAGGGGCTGAGTCTTCCTTGCCAGAGACGTGTACATGTTAAAAAAAAGTCATGCTTTCTGTCCACTGTTAATGAGAACACCAGGCAAGGGTCAGGAGCCATGTCCTTCAATCTCCTCTGAGCAAATATATAACCTGCTTCCAATTTTGAGGTAACTTTATAAAAATGCAAATAACCTGCTTTCAGCTTCAAAAACCAGTTCAGGAAGGGAAACCAGCAGACCAGGTAACATCACTATAAAACATTTAGAGCAGCCTCCGAATAACTGACACGAGTCAAAAAAGAAAACCGTGCATGTCAAACCAGTCTGCCTTCTTCCATGAAATATATTCCCCGGTGTTTGGCTCAAATTTCTGTCATTTTTGGAAAAGAAAATCACTGCAAACACCAAAGCATTAAATTGGTTCCAAATGATCTGAGGCCTCACATCCAGGAATGGGCTGGGCAGTTATGTGCCCCGTGCGGCTAAAACCAGCAGCGTCCCCCAGGGCTACTCCCCTGTGAGTCTAACCGGGACTTGAAAGCACAACCCAGGCTGGCTTCTTCATAATGATACCTTAGTGTTAGCGTCATCCACTTGGCACAATTTTAGGATAATTACAATGTTTTTTTTTTTTTAACTTTCTTTCCCCAAGCACATTCATAGACGAAAAATTTTTTTAAAGTTTAAAGTTTGAACAAAGAAGAGAAATAAAGGCCCCTTTACTATATCACGTTACAATGCCTTTCTAACTGCAATACCCCCGTTTCTGTTCACTGGCCCGGAGTTCTTTCACATTGGCTTTCTTGGAGCTCAAACCACGAAAACATCTGGATTACATTTTTCGGACTAATAAGAGATGGAATAAATAGGCTAAAACTACATAAAACCTATTAAGGGCCAAAAGGGACTTTTACCTAAATGTGGTTCAGGAATGCATGTGCCTATTAGAACACGTTAAATGAATTATTGGCCTTTGATAAGTATTTTTCAGTCAAAGGTTAGCTAAAGAAAAGCAACTTGTGCTATGATGTTAAAATTCATACACACAAGAAATGTTGTGTAATGTTGTCTCCTTTTGATTATTTTCAAAAATAGAATTTTAAGTCATATCCATTATGTTCCCCCTACACACACACACACACACACACACACACACACACACAGAGTCAGTAAGAATATGTGCGAATACAACTTTCCTATTATAGAGGGAGGTTTAGAGGGATGGAGTCTAATTCTGTTTAGGAAATTCATTTTCCTGACTTCATTTTGGTTCTCTGACTCTACAGATATAACCACAAAGACTTAACCAAAACTAGTAACAGCTTTTGTCCTCAGATTTAGGATACATTTATTTAGAAGTATATATAAAAACCATACCTGTGAGAACCTGAAACAAAAAGTAGATCCCATTCAGAGAGGACAAACCTTAAGGATCCACTAGGAATTTTCCTGCCTTCCAAACGAACTTGTGCCAGTATTTAGTAATTTCTACTCCCAGGGAAGTCACAGCCCCCCCAAATGTGCTGATCCCTCTGTCACTGGCAAAGTGCAGAGCACTGCTCAGGTCTCCCTTCAAAAAAGAACTGGCTGTTCATCGGCAAAAATGCAGGTAGCTGACTCCCCAGGTGCTGGCACCTTCTGACTGGCCTCAGGCCCTTCCCTGCAGGCAGCCCCAGCAGTGACAGTGCAGCGTGGGGCTGACAGGGCACAGGGAGAGAGTCCCAACTGCACCCGGTCTGACGCTCAGCCCACCCAAGCCCACCTCCTCCCCCTTGATCCTTGAGAAGCACGGTCCCCCGATAACCGTCTTCTACTCCTAACTCTGTCCCAGCACCTGCTTTCTGGAGCTTCCAATAGACACAGCCTATTTACTCTCAGTTTCCCCTTTGAAAAATATCTCGTCATACGTCTATATAAAAACTCTGAGACTTCTGATACGACTAGAATTTCCCAAAACATGTGCCCAAATGAATTAGTAAAGAGATGCTTTCCTGCCCCTACACAATTCCTTTTACTAGTTCAAACAGAACCAAGTTCACTTTTCCCTCTCCCTGAGATTTTTTTTCTCAAGGATTCATTATTGAGAACTGCTCATGTTTCCACGCCCACCCACCAGGGGAATGTACAAGGCAGGGAGGGACGCTTCATTGTGGATGCGCACCGGCACACAAAGTGGGATATCTTACTGGAAATTTATGAGAAAAGCTTTTCTTTTCTAACAATTCTTTTTTTTTTTTTTGCTGTACTTGAAGAGTTTCCCACCATACAGAAGTAGGAATGTAAAGGAATTCACATTGCATGGGTGGTTTTATATGTAGAAACTAACATTACCTTAAATGGAATTGGGTTTTAGAACTGCTGAGTGAGTGTTCTAGTGGTTACAGCCATTCCTACAAATTCTTATAAGGACTTCCATTAAAAGGAAAGCCAAAGAATGTTTCTAAGTTTGAAGCAATTGACAATGGAAATCAGGGATCATCTAATACTGGCTTAATGAATTCCATGACTGAGAGGAACACAAAAAAGCTAAAGTGTTTAACACAAAAAACAATGATGGGACATTTCAACTTTACCAAATTAAAGACAAGCAGCAGTTTTTGATAGTGAATTGATGTGTTCTTTCACTGTTGTTGGCTTTTTATTGTTGTTGTTTTAGTCTGAAGGAATACACAACTCAGGATCATGGAACACAGGTATTGAGGAAAGCTCTATAGGGCCAAGTGGTAGTATCAAAAAAACAACAAACAACTAGACACACCTGATGCCTGTGTGAACTTGGGTCTAGCCAGCTGAGATCTCTAACGAGGAAGAGAGAAAATGTTTGGTACCTTGACTTTGGCAGTACATCCTGAAAGTCGAAAAATCCCTTCAGATTCCAGACCCGATTCTTCAACTTTCTGAAAGAACTGGAAAGCAATGATACATTACAAAAATAAATACCTCCATATGATTACAAACATTTGAAATAATAATGATGATGAAAACAATCGATACATTACCAAGCATATATACATGCCTGGTTCTTGAATGCCTAGTTAAATGTTCACACTCTCCCAGGAGGCCAACATTAGCCTCCAATTTGCAAATGAGGAAATGGAGACTTAGAGCTGTTTTCCACTTTCCCCAGGGTCAACCTCAAAAGTAATGGCACCAACTCTCTCAAGCTTGTGCTCTTAACCAAGAAACTACACTGCCACTTAACTATTTTAAGATCTGATTACTGTATCTCTTTCTGCAGATTGACCAATAAGAAAAGATCCTAAATTTACTATCATTAGTTGCACTATTCTGGCTAAGAAACTATAGGGATTTTCGAAATCTGACCAAGGGATTACATACTGTAAAGGCTTATAGGTCTCATGAGCTCTCATGGTAATGATGATGGTTTATTATTAAATAATAATAAACACTAACACTGATTGTGCACTTACTGTGTGTCAGATAATATTCTCAGCACTTTACGTACATTAACTTACTTAACCCTCACAATAATCCTATGAGGCGGGTACTAGTGGAATCCCCATTCTACTGCTGAGGAGACTGAGGCATGGAAAGGAGAAAGGATCTGCCCACGTTCACACAGCAAGAGCAGGATCCAGAGTCTCTGCCATTTTCCCTTCATGAAATGATGGTGCCTGGAGCTAAGGTAGCTCCTGTAGGTACGAAGAGAAGTAGATATTTAGGAAGAAGAAACACGTTCATAAGAAAAGACTCTCCCACAGGAGTAGAAGAGCAATGCCTCAAGCTGTCTTAAATGAGGAGCAGTAACTAGAGCTAGCACCTACTGAGATGCTAATACGAGCTAAACCCAGATTTAGTTTTAACTAGCATTTACTGTGCACCTTCCATGTGCTAGGATTTTGCACCTACTTAACAATATAAATTCTTATGTTGAATCTTCTCAGTCTTAGATTTTTATGCATTTTCTTCAGACTCTGTCCTTTCACTAGAGGACAAAGGGCATTATTCTGGTTCTAATTCAAGGAACGAAAGGAAATCTTAGAGTCACCATGGACTTGGCCTTGGATATACATACTGTGTTCCTTTTTGCATCTACCTCTTGTGTGTTCTTGGGCAAGTTACCTCACCCTACGATGCCTCCGTTGCCTCACCGGTAGAAGGGAGATGATAACACCAACCTCCTGGGGCTGCTCGGTGCTGTCCAGACATGAAAAGTACAGACGGCCGGGTGCAGGGGAGGTGCCCTACAGACGCACACACTGGGTGTCGCCCGCATCCTCTGGCCCCCTGGTTGCCATCCTCCCTGCTCCTACTGGCAGCCAATCAATCACCTGATTTGAGGAGCAGCTCAATTTGAGGTATTGGTAGCAAAATTAAGGAAGATAGTAAAGAGACATAGAATTGTTATTGTGCATAAAGTAAGTATGTTTCCTCACTCAGTATTTTCACATATCATTTAAAAACTGAATTGAAAATTCAACAAGATTTGTGTTTAGGGCTTGGAATTTTACTTGTGCCACCGGATGTCACTGTTGAATAAATGCATAATTAAACCAGTGTAAATTGTTGGCTATAAAAAAACGTGACACAAAAGCAAATGAGCCATTAACCAGTGATGGTCACAGAGACAACCACATATGATAGTTCAGGTAATATCAGTTTCAAAACCTCCCAAACCAAAATTCTTCTTTGTCTAAATGGATCATACCTTCTCAGTCATGCCTCAAACACCACCAGAATAAGCTGATTTTTAGACTTTATTTAGCTTTGTCTGGAAAATTCTAAACAATTATACATACACATTTAAAAACACCCAACCTGTGATATACCTCAGCAAATACTTGTATGATTAGTAAATGGACTGCTAGTCATCTCTTATACAGGACAGAATAATCAAATACACACACAAACACAAACATACACACAAATAACATTTTTTAAATATTCAAAGAAATATAACTGAAGGAAGCCATGTGACAGAGCATCTGCACTCATCACCTGATGCTTTATGATCAGACAATGAAACAGGCTACAGAAGTTCTCAGCAAGGCAGACATGCCCAAGTGTTTGTGGATGTCATGTGGATGTATGGAGGAAACCTGGAAATCACCAAGGCCCAAGTCCTAATAGGGCTTTAGTGTCTTTAAATCTAGAGGAAAATTCATTAGTGGGTTTACAAATAGCACATTGCAAGCACAGGGCTCTATTAACTCCCCCTTTATTTATATTGAACTCACTTTTTGTAACACAAGGGGAACTTTCACTCCAGCATCTTTCCTTCGGTCATTTTCCAGCAGGACTGTAAGAGGAACTCCAAAAATCCCACTGTCTTCATTGTAAAATAGGCGAGAAAGAAAAAAGAATCAGAAAAGCACCGTCTTATTCCCATGTATCAAAGTGTTAAAGCCAGAAAAAGTCTTTTTGTTTTGTTTTGTTTTCAGAATAAGTCTTAATACCTCGTCCTTTTACTTTCTCCGTTTTGTTTCTTTTTAGTTGAATACGAAAGGCATCAAAAAAGGCCGTCAATTCAATCAGAGAGAGATGGCGGATTTTCTTCATGTCATCAGCAGACAGATCTCCTGCTTCAGTTAGGCCAAATCTGGTTTTCTGAACAATAAATTTCTAAAATACATATTGAGGATATTTATTTTTTATGGCAAAGGAAAATTATTATACCTTCATTCAAATGCCACCTGGACATTCTAAATCTGTACAGCAAGACATGCTATTCATAAAAAAATCTCTGAGGAGCATGCTGCATCACAGAAAGATTATGAATATGATTTTTAGAACATCTGCAGATCACTACTACACTAAATTGAAACAAAACAGTGATCTGAAGTATACCATAACGTCATCATCACAACTGTGATGTAAAGAATGTAGGTAATTTCTCAACTGAAACTGATTGCGCCTGCTTGCTGAGACAATAGTTATTCTACCTTAAAAATCAAATTTAGGTAATTCAGAATATTCTTAAAAAAGAAAAATGCACAGAAAGTGCCAAATAATTCTACTATCATTTTGAAGCCAATTATATTGTTATATTCTCCATTTCCACACTAGGAAACAAAATACACTAAAAGAACAATAAAAAACCCTTCAACAGTCCAGAAATATTGTGAAGACTGTAAGAAGTAAGACCTTTAAAAAACAAGAGATTGTTCTTGTAATAAATAACAGAAATATTACATATAAGTAATAATAAAATATAAGTATTATATAAGTTAATATATAATTACATAATAAGTAAAATATAAATTTTATATTTAAGTATATATATAAAATCTATAACAAATACTTTGCTCTCAGAAAACCTGGTATTGAAAGAAAATGGCTAAAGTAGAAATATACAATAGTTATTTAAATTACAAAGTTGTAAGTATACATTCTCCATAGGAGTTCCCTAAACTAGAGCTTCCTTGGGATTTTTAAAGCATCTTCCAATTCATTCATTCATTCATTCATTTATTCATTCATTCAACAACTGTTCTTTGAAATTCCAAGTATTTAAAAGCTAAACAACAAAACATAGGGTGTGGTCTGAGGTATACCTTGTGCTATTAAACACTTGGTTATTTTACCTTCTTTCTGAGACCAAGGCCCCACATGACAATAATACATAACAAGAACAGAAACACAACAAGAACTGCCATCATTACTGAGCAATTATTGACACTACGTGCTATACCCTATGCAGAGCTCTTCATGGGAGGCTGCCCTGCACCCCAGGTGAGCCCAAACTCAGGAGGAGACAGACATGATGAGGAGACTGGGGGTCAGCATCCTCTCTTGGACAATTCTCTCCAAAGATTCAGAGGGACTCCCCCTGCAACCAGAGTCCCAGAGCTGGGTTCCCTCTTTTGTCCCAGAATGCCACTGTGCCCTCTGACATAGAGGCTGCATAGGGTCCAGGAGGGGTTCTGAAGATGGACACGTGTAGGTTTAAATTCTGTTTCTGCCTCCTATTAGCTGTGAAGATTTGGATATGTTACTTAGCTTGTTTGGGCCTCAGTTTCCTCAACTGTAAAATGGGAGCAATCACTAAGATGATGAGAACTAGAATACCTACTGCAGTGTCTGGCCTATAGAAGGCGCCTGGTGGGTCTTACAGTTCTTGCCCTGTCCTCTTCCCCTCCTTCACAGGAATGGTCCAGGCCACCTGGGGCAAAGCCTCTGCCTGATTCTAGATGACTCATCCCTCTAGCCCTGAAACTGCCTGAGCCCTGCTCATCATGCCTCCAGCCCTGATCAGCACAGAATATTCAGGACTCCACATCTTGAACTCTTCACAAATGCATTGACTGAGTAGCAAATAGATCAGTGTAGCATATTTCCTGTATTGGGCTTTCAGAATATAATTATCCTGGATATATATAATGAGGCTTTCAGGCTAATGAAGTATGTAGCTCTACTTTCCCATCCCATAATAATATTACAAATTCTTGAATTTATTTTTGATGAGTTTTTAGTGTCTGCCCTATAAGCTCTCACTTCTCATTGTTAATGACTGTGACTTTCTGACATGTGGCTTCTAATGCACAAGTAGGTATACAGTTACAGTTAGAACTGGCATCAACCTATAAGTAAAGTAAGGATAGAAAGTGCATGAAAGCACACAAGCCAAGTGGAAAACCTATTTCATCTATAAAGCAGTACTCAAGCATATACCCTAGCAACTCTTCCTCAACCCAGGGCTGCCAGGTACAGCCAGGCAGGCTGTGTACTGCACAACAAATAATGTCCCTGGTGTGATGCAACACTGATGCCTGGCCTCTCCCCATGCCCTTGTGCACACACAAAGAAATTTTTTTAAAAATCCTAGTTTGTCCCACAGAGAAGTCACGGGAAGCTAGTGGAATAATCATGAAAGGTTTTTACTTACAGGTAAAACATAGTCTTCTTTCTTAAAATCTGACTTCTTCAATTTATTTCTTTTTGGCGCCTCTGTAACCATTTCTGAATAAGATACTTCAAAGGACAGCTCTTCAGCTTGTAGTGGAATGTCCTTTTCCAGATATTCATCATCTAAAGAACAGAGGATGTGGAATATTTAATATGCCATTTAATCAATCAATACCATTTACTGTAAAATAAGCACAAAATGTTTACAAGTTAATCCATAAGCACATTAGAATGTTTACATCCAGGAAAAGCATTAGACTCACCCAGAATGATTCCAGTTAAGCAATTAATGTAGTGTCATCAGATTTCCACATGAACAAACTTCTATAATCATTATCCAAGCAAACTTTCTATTTAATCTGATGTTTTTAATTTTAGATGTTTATGTCTCATGAAAAGCATTGAAGATTAATTAGAAAGACAAGAATGAAATATTTCTATATATTCTCATGATATTAAAATTAAGTCCATCCAGACCCAACGTTGCTGCTATTGGGGAAGCAAAAGCTTAAAGCAGAGGGAGAAAGGGTGGAGGCCCCACAGGAAATTCCTGCCTACTTTCATTCCTCTTGGGTTTTTCCCAAACTGGGGAACTGTGCCTCTTAAGATTTGTTCAAATTCAGTTTGCCCTTCACTACTAGATTTGTTCAGGTGAATTAATTCTAATTCTTGTGATTTTGTATCGTTACCTGACCTCGTATGATGCACATGACAAAGCTAAATGGGTGACAAGTACTGTCCCGTATCCATGTTTCTCTCAAGTCTGAAATTAAGACAAGAGATTCCTTACCAAAAACAAGTGAAATCATTTGAGTAAATCTAAATCTGATTTTTGACTAACAGTTTGGCTTGCCATCTTGTTTCATTGCCTGGCAAAACTGTTCATATGTCATGAAAAGAATTATTTGATTACAAAAAAAAGAGCTCATCTCTTTTACCCTCTTCTATAGACAGTGACTAAATGAAAACCAAACAGAACAAAAGGAACAAAAGATAGAAATGACAGAAGACCTAGTTAATCTCAATTAAAAGTTTAACAGAGAAATTTGTAAATCAACAAATTTAAAATTCTAAACAGTTATACTGAATTAAAACACAATAAATGGATACAGTAAAAACTTAGAAAATAATGAGGGCACAGTTAAGATTTTCACTCATCATACAGAGGCGTGCACGCAAATCAGAGTAAGATTGTTAAATAAAATGCTAATTTCTTAAGGACCTATGGATAGATTCTTTGGACAGTGTTGATTATACAGGCCGATACTCCAAATCACCAGACTACTCCAGGTAGACTTTTATCTTTTAGTGGTATGAGTTGAACCGAATAACAATATGGCAGCAAATAGAATGATGTGGAATAATTTACAGCAAATCCATTCTCTTCCATTTTTCTTTTTTTTTGGAAACAGCTTTATTAAAATGTAATCCACATGCCTAGAATTCACTTATTTGAAGTGTATAGTCAACGGTTTTTAGGATATTTGCAGAGTTGTACAACCATCGATCAATTTTAGAACATTTTCATCACCCCAACTTATTTGAGTTTTGAAGCTAATGCTGCAAGTATGGGGTTCTGCTGTATCTGAGAAGACGGTGCATTATTTAGGGAAAATTTTGAGGAATCACTAAAGTGTGGCCTAAAGGGGCCTATTTCTAACAAGGAGGATTTGAGATTCCATACTGAGTCCATGCAGAGTATCCAATGCTCAAGTGGAAGAGGCCCATTTAAAAGCTAACCCTGTTACTCTGTATATCACAAGCTGCTCTGCTGCTGCATTTACTTGAGCATAGTTAGAGGTTCTTGGAAGTGGTCTGCTTCCTGGTCTGCTTGATACTGTTAAGCAGATCCAGATTACCTGTGAGAGAGGCCCCAAATCAAAGACACTGCCTAAGTGAGTAGTTTCTAAATGATGCCGTGGGAGGAAAGGTGGAAAAGATTCTGCTTCCAAGGTGGTTCAATTAGTTTCGTCTGGTATAACAGATGGGCTGTTTGGAGGTGATGGGAGGAGAGGCCCAGGTGACAGAATCAAAAAGGGGAGAAAACACACTTACATTTTGCTTTCAGAAATTCACTTCTCACTGAATTGAGTGCCAGCACAAAAGCAAAAAGACACAGCTTGAGTTCAGTAGGAGTTTGTGTCACTCACCACTCACTGCGTTCTGCACCGACTGTCCAGGGTCTGCTGAGCCATTGGAATGAGCTGGCACATCTGGAATAGTCTCCAGGATAGACTGTGAAACAAGGGAAGACGAACACAAAACAGCTTATCATAAATACAGTCTACCCTACGTTTCAACCTGATTTATGTTCTGCTGTATATTTGAATTCTTTTCACAAAAAGCAATTCTTGATTCCATGAAGGGCTTGCATCTGATTTCCTTTGTTTTCTCACTCAGTTCAGACCTGTACAGCTCACACAGTTTTCTCAAAAGAGAACTAAGTCAAGGTCAAAATAACCACATCTTCTTAAATGTTTGTTGTCATACAGTTCCTAACGTAAAAATTACAATGCTTGATGTCACATAGTTTGATGATTATTATATTTGTTATTCTTGATGCAGCTGGTCACACATTTTGGTCGTAAACTCTAAGTCATGACATAGCTAGATGGTTAGTAACAGGGATGCTGGAGCCAGATTGCTTGGATTCTAATCCTGGTTCTTCCACTTCGTGTGACTTCAAGCAAGTTACAGGACTCTCTATTGCTTAATCTCCTGATCTGTAAAATGAAGATGATAATAGAACATATTTCAACAAGTTATTATGAATTTTAAATGACTATAAATCACATGGAACAATATCTGGCACATAGTGAGTACTGCACGAGGGCTAGCTACTATTAATATACTCAAACATTAACTTCTTTGCTAGGAAATACAGAGTGATAATAACTACCAACAATTTAAGTACGTTTTCTAGTTCAGTGTCCTCTCTTAATTAATTTCCTACTTTCTTCACTGCAATCCTGCCAAAACACTGCACTCCCCTGCAATGTTATCAGAAGTTGAGTAATTAACTTTGTAGAGCTCTGTAGAGCTTTGTAGAGCTCTTACTCAGGTTGGATGGGTACTAGTAAAAACTTACACACAAATTCTACCATTTCTACCAATATAAATTTTAACCTGGAAGTTATCAGTTGTATGTGTGAGGGTGAAAATCTGCTATTCCATCAAGAACCTTTTTTATGCTCTTCACACATAAGTCTGTTCTTTTTCCCCCAGAGCCTGATGTCGCTCATATTTATTTAGCAATATGAACTGAACACCTGCTTCATGAAAGATCCTTTATTATGTACTACAAATTGCACAAGGGAATCTCGAATGCTGAGCTTTGCGTTCTCTCTTTCCTATTTTATTCCAAAGGAGATAACATATCTTATTGTGTAAACAGAATGTGAATATATTGCCAACTATTAAAACACAGATGCTCAATTATGTAATTGGTGGCTCTAAAAACTAACACTACAGATTAAAGATTACCTATACACTGAAATCCTTAAAAAGATGTGGAACACTTTTCAGTGGTTTCCTTACGTTTTTCTAGAAAGAAATGTTTTATTAAACTTTGTAATAACTCATCTATAGAAAAGAACACTCCTGAAAATTGAGAAACACTCATGTAAGGCTTGAAGCTGATGGCTTGGGATCCTTGAATGGACTAAATGTCAATTCCGTAATCCGTAAAGTGGAGAAGTGCCATCTGCTGTCTGGTTTAACTGGCCTCCAGCCAGTCTATAGTATTGAATGAGGTTCCACTTTTTGTAATATAAATTATTCTGGGACTTTCCTGGGGGAAGCAGAAATTTAAATCGTGACCCTTGCTCTTTAGCTATTTATAATGAGGAGAAGGGAGTAACATTTATGGAACATTATTAAAAGACAATCCACTCTTAAGAGCTAATTTCTACACTACTAGTGTTTACTGGAGAGTAAAGGAGAGGAAGGAGGTGCCACCCGAAAGGTTTCACTGAAGAGGCGGCTGACCTTGCACTGAAACTCAAGGAATGATGAAAAGGACTTACAAAGGCAGGGAGGAGGGCAAAGCATTCAGGCCAGACATGGAATCATAAATTTCAGGTATGGAAATCTGAAGCATTTTGGCTTCATGAGAGGATCAAGGAGAGCCTGATTTGTCAGGAGTTGAGACAAGGTATTAGAAAACTATGAGAAATATGTTAGTCAAGAACGTTTTGAAAGCCAGGTAGAGGTTCTCAGACTTAGACTCATAACGGTTAAAACACAACAGAACAAACAAAAGAACATTCATGTGTTAAAGCAGGGGGATGACTTGGTGAAAATGAAAAGGAAGATCTCTCTGCCAATAAAGGGACCATGAGTTTTGAAACAGGTTGAATGAAAAGGCTCAGTGCTTGGTATTCATAATTTTAAAACATCCACTTACTCATTAAACATATTAATATTAGAATCTTTAAAATATTTTCACTAGTGATTTTAATGTATTTCAAACATCAATGCCACTCCCATTTAAAACAAACTTCCCTAGCTTGTCCATAATGGATCCTACCATTTCCCTACATGCCCAACCACTAGAGTTCCCCACTGGGGCCTCAGCTGCTTTAGGAGAGGCAAAGCTTCCTAGCTACCAACGCTTGCTCTGCTGCCCAAATCCTACTGCACTGGGATTGGAGAGTAAGGGTTGAAGGATTATTATTTTAAATTCCAACATTTAGAAGGTTAGCACTATCTGCTTGAGTTCTCTTAAAACTAGACTTCGACTATCTGATATTTCCTTCACATTAAAGAAACACCATACCAAATATTTTCCGTGTTCATTACTTACAGGAGAAACTCACCGACTCAAAAGATGTTTCTGACCTTCCTGACTGGCTGCTTGGTTTTTTCTCATGGTTTCAATCTATGTGTTATAACTCTATACACTAAATCTGCCTGTGCTTCAGTCATTACAGACAATAAGGCTCCCCATATTCCTCTTCTGCATCTGAGATCAGAACTGATAAATCCACCTCTTGAATCCACTGTGCCAAATTCCCCAGAGATGAACGTAAATAAGCCACATTCACTGACAAATACGTAACCAATTTTGAAATAAAAAATAAAATAAAAATTACAAAATCTATCCAAATGTGAATTTAAAGGCATTCCGATGCCATCTATGACATCTGAAATTATAAATTAAATATTAAAGACAATGAGAGTAATAAATTCCAAAAATCCATGTGAATAGCCGAACTATTATTCAGATTACTTCTTAACCTTAAACACAAATAATAAAGTTTAAAAATAAATGGACACCAAGGGGGGAAAGCGGCAGGAGGCTGGGGGTGGTGGTGTGATGAACTGGGTGATTGGGATTGACATGTATACACTGATGTGTATAAAATTGATGACTAATAAGAACCTGCTGTATAAAAAAATAAATAAAATAAAATTCAGGAAAAAAAAAAAGTTGCTGATGTAATGGATAAGTTCCGAGCAAATTCTTCTAAAAAGGGATATTCTGAAATTTTTGTGTCTGACATTAAAATGAGTATATATTTCAAAAAAAAGAAGAAAAATGTTTATAATCCAAGAGACTAGGAAAAATTATCCAAGTAGACCCAAGAATGAATGAAAAAAATTAATAAGGATTAAATAAATTAATACGATAGAAAAAGTAGGCTTAATTAATTAAAGGTAGTGACTTTAAAAAAAAATACTGCCAACACAGGCAAGTATTTACATTCTGACAGACATAAATTTTAGGAAGAAAAAAGGAGTAACAGCTACCTTCACAGAAAATTTTAAAATTATGCACCTAAACAAATGTGTGTATGTACATATATATATTTGTGTACATATGTGTTTACACACACACACACCCCAACATATATTGAAATTTTAAATGAACTTGATGTTTTGCTAGAACAAATACACATTACCAAATTCATACAAGTTGGGATTGAAAGGAATATAATCCCTAAACCATATCCATTGAAAAATTAATCAAAGCATTAGGTCTACAGTGATGCCAGACCTTGGCATAAAACTGTATATAATAGTTTTTACAGATTATATGTGTTTACACCAAAGTTTAATAAATAGCTCCAAAATACTCAAAAAGATTCAAAGTTCTCAACATGTTTGTACCAAGATTAGCATAACTCTGGTAATAACAAAAAGAAATGATATATCATAGGCTAACCCCACTTACTAGAATAGTGGTTAAAAATGCTAAAATGGTAGCAAATCATATTCAGTAGCATAAGAAAAGAATAATATAACACAAGTAGGGTTTAACTAAGCAATGAAATTATAGTTCAACATTAGAAAAACCTATCAATGTAATTTCCTAAAGTAATTGCCTTTTAAAGAAGAAAAACAATACATTCATTTTAATAGATGATACAATCATTTGATATAACTCAATCTCTATTCCTGATAAAAGTAACTACAAGGCTCAGAAACCCAGAACAAATATTCTTCTTAATAGTGAAACTTAGAAGAATTCATGAGAAAATCAAAAATGTATCAAAAGATCTCCATAATTATTATTCAATGTTATAAGTGCTTGAGGTTGGTTCAATAAGATAAGAAAAGTAAATAAGATGAATAACTACAATCGTCCCTTGGTATTTATGGGGGATTGGTTCCAGGACCCCCAAGGACACCAAAATCCTCAAATGCTCAAGTCCCTTATACAAAACGTTGTGGCGTTTGCATATAACCTATGCATATCCTTCCATATACTTTAAATCATTTCTAGATTACTTATAACACCTAATACAATGTAAATGCTATGTAAATAGGTGCTGGTGCACAGCAAATTCAAGTTTTGCTTTTTGGAACTTTCTGGGATTTTTTTTTTTCTGAATATTTTCAACCTGCAGTTGGTTGAATCCTAGAATGCAGAACCTAAAAATAAAGAGGGCTAACTGTATTTTAAAGATTGGGCAAATAAAACTTTCAGTATTTCAGACGATGTCTGCACAAATTATAAAATCAAATGAAAAATTCTAAGAAATAAAAAAGAATTTTCAGAAAGGAAACTATAAGAGAGACTTTTGTGAGTAACAAAAATACTTTCCTTGTATATCCACAAAAACAGACAAGAAGATACCATGAAAAACCCCTATCATTTAAAATACCAATGAAAGCCATTAAGTTCCTAGTAACTAACAAATGAAAAAATGTGTAGGAAAAAATATGAGAGGAAATCATGAAATTTTACTGAAGGATAGAAGATACAAATGAAAGGAAAGACACAATTTTTTCTCAGTGGGAAGATTCAATATTTTAAGATGTGAATTCTCTCCAACAATCTTTAAATTCAATGAAATTCTTAGTGGAGTACTAACAAGATTTTTATTTAATGGGTAGTGATAGCCTCAATGTAAGTTCATCTGAAAGAAAAAAATTTCTGAGAAGAGGAAAGAAAATTTTGATTCTAAACAATGATGGCAAACTTGTAACAAATTTAAATAAACAAAACATAGAGTCATAGTAATTAGGATAGACCCTGTATACGTAGAGAATTCACTTATCATAAAGGTGCAAATCAAACAAGTAAAAAAGATGAAAGAATGAAAAAACAAGATGTTGGTCAAGCCAAGGCTATCCCCTTGGAAAAGATAAAGTTAGGTTACCTACTTTATCCCATTCCACAACATAAATGCCAATAGTGAAAGTTGTCAAGAGCCTCTGGAGTCTTGGAGATAACAGTAAATAGTCAGTGAGATTTTCCCTGACAGGCCTTATAGGCATCATGGCCAGGACCCCTGAAGCCCTTGCCTCCACTGCACTGAATCACTGGAAATCCCACCATGTAGAAGAAACTGGGGAACCAAACCAGGGTGCCCATGGCTCCTTATAATCAAGAAGGAGGGAAGTCAAAAATGTGTTTATGTCACGGTGAGAAGTTCTAGAATGATTTTCAGTACAGATGCAGAAAGAGTGAAGTTGGCATCTGTGGGCTACTTTAGCAACTAACCAATTTGTTTAACATTTCAAAGTAAAGGTATTATGAGTAACAAACAATCCAAAGTAAGTCACACTAGAGACAGGTTCCAATGAAATTTTTTTGAGTGTCATTACTGCTGAAACTTTTACTTATGTCATTATTGACATTCAATCAGTTTTCAGAAAAACAAAATGAAAACAAAAACGAAATCTGAGTGACTAACTTACCCCAGGAAGCTCTATCTATAACTGCCATGCAAGATCATTTTCTTTCTCTTACACTGTCAAACTTTCAAGGATCCTATATGTAGACAACACGTGTTCAATAAAGATTTGGTGAATGAATAAATCAATGAATCAGCAAAGAATGAAGAAATAGAAAAACATCACAAGCATTGTGGTCACAGAGCTGCCATGGAAAAGCCTAGAAAACAGGCCTACCCAACCTCCTCTTCTTTAGCAACTCAACGGTGCAAACACCATGCTTCAAGTTCTGCTTGGTGTGTGCACAGAACTACACACAGTACTTTCTTGTTGGCTTATAGAACAGGTGAAGTCAGCTAGCGGACGGACGAGAGGTCAGAGACAGAAGCTTTCTAACTACCTAACACTAACACTAACTAGAAAGTGGGGAGAACTGCTGCAGGCATGGAGCAAGACTTGCATTTTAGACCGATGACTTGCAGCCACAGCGAGGATGAGATGGAGGGTATAAGCTAAAGTCCGGGAGATCACTTAGGCGGCTGCTTCAGTAACACAGAAAGATGATGAGTTTCTGTACTAAGGAAGTAGTTGTAGGAAAAGAGGGGAGTAGACATATTCTAGAACTGTGTACAAGATAAAATCAACAGGTGTCAGAGAAGACAAGTAGAGGTGAGGCTAAGACTTGGGGCTGAGTCTTGGGCACATGGGTATCTCCAGCTGAGACTGAAAATGAAATATCCTGGGCAAGGCCTTACTTAGAAGAGGAATCCTCGGTCACGGGGTGGGGTGGGGGTGGACAGCACACCATGTAAGGTCTACTGTAGGAAACTCCTCATTTCTAGGAGTTACCAGTTTGCAAATGACTTACTTTGTTTTCATCGCTAAGTGGGGTGAACTGGAGATTATCTCTGAAGTAGAGATATTCTCACTTATTTGCATTCCAATGCATGGTCTTAAATGGGAAAGTAACAGCTGAATTTAAAGCCAGTAGGTCAGAAACTGTGGGTAACCCTTAGCCTATCGGTGCTATAACCTGTAGTGAGTGCTACTGATAAAAATCACTCACATTACTTTATGCTTCTTAAATGATCACTATGAAACAAAACAAAACAACCTCATAACCAAAAATCTAAAAACACAACAGAAAAACTCATTCACATGGGGCTAACAGCATTATCTCCCTGAACAATGGGGGTGCCCTGGGAGTGCGTTGTGCATATCAACTACCCGGTATATCAAACTCGACAACAGACGAGAAACTACTGCCCAGGAGGACGCTGAATGTGCCCCCTCCATCTGCCCATCTTGTCATGCTCTTTTGCCTTCCATCAACTTGCCAGTGGAGAACCACTACCCTATCTAACAGGGTCTCTCACTTCTGGTCCATTATGCCACACCCTGCCAGGGCTCCTGCACAGAAACACCAACTGGGGGTTCCCAGTGGAGGTGGGGCGGGGGGAGGAATGACGAGAGTTTGAGACAAAGAAAAGTAGAAGTTCTACTACTCAAGGCCACGTGAGTGAATCTGTCGTAAGTGGAGGGTTTGTTTGGATGAGTCCTGAGATCCAACGCTGGATACACAGGCAACAGTGGGGAGCCTTCAATATCAGGAGGAGGAAATTTTAATTTATCCTGCAGGTAAAAGGACTTCTGAGTTAAGATGGCAGAGTTAGGACAGATCATCTGTATGAACTCAGACAAGGGGACAAAAGTTAACAAATCGCTCCATGCTTGATGCTCCTAAAGAACACTGCATCAGTATTAATTTATGGAGTCCTCTTTCAAACTGATCTATTCATTCCTCAGTTTTGAGTCTCTTTCTTCCTAATTGTTATAAGGTTGATGGGTCTATTGGCAGCTGTGGTTTCCTCACAGTGTTAGTTCAAGTTTTTCTCATCTGTTTGAAAAAAATTCTTCTTCTTGCCTTGAATTTGCAATTTTGCCCTGACATGCAATCATCTGAGCATGTGATGACTTACCATGGAGCCACTCCTGGGAACTGCAAAACTCCCTTCTTCATCTTGGGACCCATCTGACAGGGTAGTAATGTTGAAAGACGCATCACCTGGCTAAATGGAGAAATGAAAGCACCATTCTTATTCAGGCAAATACTTTCTAACATGTTTGTGTATTCCACTATGCGTACGTATTTAGATATGTGTGGCAATACACAGAGTTATGACTGCCAGGGCATGGGCAATTGCACCAGCCCTTCAGGGCTCATCACTGCGAACCAGCTAAATGCCTGGCCCTCTGACAGACCCTGGCCCTGTGGCAGACACTGCTCTTGTCTGCCACAAATTCCATTTTCCTTAACAATATCTTGGTTTTGTTCCAGGGAGTGAGGTGTGAAACCAGAGAACTTGATTTCCAGGCTTCTTTGCAGCTAAAAGTGATCATGTGACAAGTGTGGTCAATGAGGTGTAAGTGTAGTATTAAGAAGAGTGCCTCCAGAAAAGTTAAGGCTTTCCTGACCAAAAAGAGTAGGGTCAGCTGCTACATGCTCATGACAGCACTCTAGGTGACAGCCTGGAGTTGCCAGGCATCTTGCTCCAATGAGGATGATGGATGGCAGAGATGGCTGGGTCTGTGCTAAGGGGCATCACATGGCTGCCCTGTCACACTTGGACCACCCCCTCTTAAGCATCTCCACGTGGAGCAAAGCAACTCCGACTTTCCTATTACATGCAGCCAAACACAAACTTGTCTAATCTTATTTATTTTAAACAGACCCTAGGACTATCTTTCACAGTGATTAGAATTCAATAGCAATAGTACCAAATTGTTTTTTCATTTATAAAGCTTGAAGTAGATTTTTGCTTTAGTGTACAAGGGCATTACTGAAATTTAAGAAATGAATATTCTTTTCTTTACTGAAGGAAACTTATGGCAAAATCGAATATATTCGATACTTATAAAAACATACGATATTTTGTTTTCTAAAAAACTGTCACTCATCTTTCTTGACCACATTTTCTAAATTTTCTATAGATGGTATGTGTTACTTTATAAAATAAACATAGGACTCTTGGGCTTCCCTGGTGGCGCAATGGTTGAGAGTCCGCCTGCCGATGCAGGGGACACGGGTTCATGCCCCAGTCCAGGAAGATCCCACATGCCGCAGAGCGGCTGGGCCCGTGAACCATGGCCGCTGAGCCTGCGCGTCTGGAGCCTGTGCTCCGCAACGGGAGAGGCCACAACAGTGAGAGGCCCGCGTACCGCAAAAAAAAACCATAGGACTCTTTTTTCTTTAAAGGAACAAATAGAACAAAAGATCTAGCTCAAGAAATTTAAGTCAAGATGGCAAGCTGACAATCACCTAACTCCCCTCACCCCAAATCACTAAAAATGGCAGAAAACATATATATATATATATATATATATATATATATATATATTTTTTTTTTAAAGAAACAGATTGTTAACAGCAATGGAAACCAGCAAAGAATTCCATAGCTGATAGAAATTTCTAGAAGAAAAGCTAATAGAATTGATTTGGTAAAATAAAAACCTCTACTTGAAAACAGCATAAAAGAAAAATTTTTAGAGAGGGAAGAGAAAAATAACAGAATGTACAAAGAGTAGGAAATCCAGTAATCAATCAAAATTAATAAAGACTTGCATTATGATTGCAGACTTTAGGGGCCCAGGGATGGTAGTTCCACCTGAAAATGTGCTGGTGTCTTCTGCCTTGTTGAACACTTTCAGCCCTGATGGAGGCTTTGGTGGGTCATCCCACCCTCTTGCTGTGACAGGATTCTGATAGACAGGGGTACAGTGGAGGGACTGTGGAGCTGGACTTGAAAAAACATTCAGGATCCATAGTCTTGGTGAGAAGCTCTCCCTGCACTGTAAGCTTGCGGACACTTGCTGTCACCCGACAGGAGATGTGCACTTCCCTAATCAGATGGCGCTTGCACATGGGCAGGACTCCACTGCTTGTATCACTTACTGCTATGCATTCCAAAAGCTAGCATGTTCTCCACACAAGATGTTTACGTTTGGAAAATAACTGGGAAAAACTAAATTTTTGTTTCTTAGTTGATACTGAAAATAATGAAAAACAATTTACATGGTAATCTGTTATTTTTCCATATGAGCTCACCCACAAGGACCAAGTTTTAGTTGACAACATCCTCCACTTAGGATATAAGTTTAAAAAATTAGTTTCTGTTGTTGTTGTTTCTGCCTGTAGATGCTTTCTTTAAAGGATAGAATTTAGTTATTTTTGATTTATTGAATTATTCCTAGCTGAGTTTAAGGGTTATGGGTGATGGGGCTGAGGGTGGCTTGTTTGCCAACAATCTGAATTATGTTGCATCTTTACGGAAGAGAAATGAGAATATACATCCTTTATACTAAATGAATGTATTGGCGGCATTATTCATAATAGCGCAAAACTGGAAACAGTCCACATGTCCATCATCAGGTGAATAGCTACACCAATAATAGTATATTTACACAATGGATTATTGTTAGTAATAAAAGGACTAAATTTCTAATACATGCCAACAAATGGATAAATCTAAAAATTATTCTGAGTGAAAGAAGCCAGACACAAGAGTGCATATTAATCTCAATAGGGTTTGCCGCTGCAGGAAAAGGAGGACAACTGACTGGAAAAGGCCTGAGAGAAATTTCTTTGGTGATGGAAATGTTTTCTATTTTGACTGACTGTAGTTATATGAGTGAAAACACTTCTTCAAACTGAATTATATACCTAAAATGCATGCACTTTAAAATATATATATATATATCAATAAAAAAGACAGAAATAATCTCATTCCTTACAAATAATATAATTCTTATCTTCAAGGGGCTATTGCTGCTATGAATCAAGAACCTACAGCTACCATAATGGGTAAATCAGAAAGAAAAAAGTTGTTCTTGGGAAATAAGAATATGTTTGCTGAAATGTACAAGGAGTAAGACAAGCTTAAAAAAAAAAAAAAAACAGAATCATGACCAAGAAAAAAATTACTAATCTGAAAGATAAAGATGAAGAAATCAGAGCAAACAGACTAACAGGAGAGAAAATTTAGGAGATACTGAAATTCAATTCAAGCAAAGCAGGAACCATCTAATATGTGTTCTAGAAGGGGGGAACATAGAAAATGCAGAGAAAAAAATAACTTAAGACATAATAGAAGACAATGTCCAGAAACTGAAGAAAGAAATCAGTTCTCAGAAAGAACTCACTGAGCAGTCACCAAGATGAATGAAATAAGGGGCTGATTCTTGTGAAAGTTCAGAATTCCAGCAATAAATTCAAAATTCAAAAAAGTTGTAGAGAGGGCAAACACAAAAAGCTTATTTATAAAGGAATAAGGTTCAGGCAACCAAAGAAGAGAAAAGAAACCCAGATTGTCATGTAAGAGTGCAAGAGTAGGTCAATGAGCAATATGAGAAATGTCACTGTGCGGGTTCTCCAGGAGAGCTAAGGTTTTCTGTTAACAATGAACACTCAGTTGGCACATGTTCCTAATGGGATCCAGAGTTTGCTAACCATCTTGTAAGTTTAAGGATTAAATCCACATGTTATGGTGGCAGCATGAAAGGAAAAAGTTAGAAGTTTCGGGCTAAGGTTGGCAGTGCATTGCACTGCAGTTGTACTAGCCTTGGTTTATCCACCATTACTTGCTCATTTTGTGATTAAAACAAACTCCTACTTGTTTAAACCAAGGTTCCTTAGATTTTCTTTACTACAAAGCAAACACAGATGCAATTGATCATTTTTAACAGAAGGTATGATTGTATTTTGCAGTGAATTATAAATCAATAGCAAATGTAGCTATTTGAGTTTGACTTAAGACATTGGAAATAAACTAGATGGAAAAAAACTAGATCGACTACTTCGCCTTTGAGTTAACTAACACCTCTAATGACTAATTCATTTATGTTGACTACACATAAGGAAAATGTTTCTTTTATCTATACAAGTGATTTGTAGACTAGTTTGTAAGGACTGTAGACTGGGTTGTAAGCCTTCTGTACAGGTTGTAAATCTTCTGTAAATCTTTTGTAAATGCCCAGATTTAGTGGCATTTGTGATCCAGAGTCAAGATTCAACCATGTATAATATATAGACAATAGACAATCATCTGTATTATAATAGACAATTCCTTTATTGTAAGTAGCTTATTGCAAAATAAATGTGTTGGATATTAAAGAAATCATAAAATATTATATGGACTCTTTTGTAAAGGTTTCTTGAGATAGATTATTAAGTATACAATTTGATGAGTTCTGACAAATATATAGACCTATGAAACCATCACCACAGTCAAGACAATGAACAAAACCAGCACTCCCCAAATGTCCTCACACCCCTTTGTCATCCCTCCTTCCCTCTCCTCCTCACCAACCCCTAGGCAATCACTGATCTTCTTTCCCTCACTATAGGTTATTTACATTTTCTGTAATTTCATATAAATTGAATCTTTTTTGTCTGGCTTCTTTCACATGGCATAATTATTTTAAGATCCATCCATGCTTTGTATATCAAATGTTCATTGCTTTTTATTGCTGAGAAATATTCTATTGTATGGATATATCACAATTTGTTCATGTATTTAGCTGCAGGTAAAACTGGGTTCTTTCCAGTTTGGGGCTATTAAGCTATAAACTTCTGTGGATAAGTCTTCGTATGAATATATATTACCTATGAGTAGAACGGCTGGGTCTATATGGAAGGCATGTGCTTAATATTTTAAGAAACTACCAAATTATTTTCCAAAGTGGATGGACCATTTTACATTCCTACCAGTAATGTATGAGAGTTCCAGTTGCTCTGCATCCTTAGCACCAGTCGATACGGTCAGCTTTTTAAATTTCAGCCATTCTACAGGGTATGCAGAGCTATCTCATCATGGCTTTATGTGCATTTCCATAATCACTAATGATACTGAGCACTTTTCATAAGATGATTCACCATCCAAATCTCTTTCTTGGAGAGGTGTCTATTCAAATCTTTTGCCCATTTGAAAAGATGAGAAAAGACCAAACAAAATTTTATCACTGGAAAGCTCCAACTATGTTCCTGAAACAGAAAGTTGATTTGTTTTCAAAAGTAGAGGATTTGTGTGATAAAGTCGAAGGAACTAGGACTTCCCTGGTGGCCCAGTGGCTAAGACTCTGCACTCCCAATGCAGGGGGCCTGGGTTCAATCCCTGTTCAGGGAACTAGATCCCACATACATGCCGCAACTAAGAGTTCGCATGCTGCAACTAAAAGATCCTGCATGCCGCAAAGAAGATCCCACGTGCCACAAGTAAGACCTGGCACAGCCAAATAAATAAATATACAAACAAATAAATAAATGTTATTAAAAAAAAAAAGGCGAGGGAACTAAAGCTTGGAAATACCAGCAGAGAAAAAACTGTGGATAATTTTAATATAAAAAGAAAGAGTTGGGGCTTCCCTGGTGGCGTAGTGGTTAGGAATCCACCTGCCAATGCAGGGAACATGGGTTCGAGCCGTGGTCTGGGAAGATCCCACATGCCAGGGAGCAACTAAGCCCGTGCGCCACAACTACTAAGCCTGCGCTCTAGAGCCCACGAGCCACAACTACTGAGCCTGTGAGCCACAACTACTGAGCCCATGAGCCACAACTACTGAAGCCTGCATGCCTAGATCCTGTGCTCCACAACAAGAGGAGCCACTGCAATGAGAAACCCGCGCAACGCAATGAAGAGTAGCCCCCGCTCGCCACAACTAGAGAAAGCCTGCGCGCAGTAACAAAGACCCAACACAGACAAAAATAAATAAATAAAATAAATTAATTTTAAAAAAAGAGTTATGTATTATTTCTGTAAACAATAGGGATTATATTCTGGAATAAAATGGGAGAGTTAAGTCAATGACCAAGGCTTTCTCTCCTAAAACCTAGTAGAGTCAACAAAACATAATGAAAAAAAGAAAAAAGAATCCCAGCAACATTCACACGAGTGGTGGTCAGAGAGAAATATTCCAGGAATAATGTAAATTCTTTTCCAAAATCCACCCCCCTCCTAATCAAACGGAGACACTTTTGAAATAGACAACTACTATCTCCTCCAAATCATGAGGGAAAACAACTGAAGGTGTGAGTAACCACATCTGGGGTCAACATGAGCAGAGCCCTTGAAACTCAGTCTCTCCCCAACACCATCTCAGTAGGGAGGAGGGAACCTATTGGATTCACCATTTTGCTCTTTTCTACCTGGGAGGAAGTTAGGTGAGGGAATATGAAGATGGAAAAATTAAAGGAAAGGTAGAGTATATAAGCTCCACCAAGGGAGAGAAAAGATAGCTTAGGATAGAAGTGCAAGTAAAAACAGACGTGAGAACAGGCTCTGGCTAAACCATAAATAAAGCAATCTTTCCCGTTTGTAAACTGACAGAAGCTGGATCTTTCTCCCAACGTTTGCCTGACTTTGCCCTCCTCTGGGTAAGTGGGGAGTGGAAGTGGCTCTGGGGAAAAGCAGGGGGATGGGGAAGGGGAGGGCACTAGACACCTAGGGTGAAGAGTGTGGTCAGAACTAAGATGCCTGGTGTTCGCCCTGCACCAGGGAAGCAGTGGACAACCTGAGGACACCTACTGCTGTCCTGTGACCTGACATCCATAGCTGGTGGAGCTGTGACTCAATGGAACCAACACTCTTATGAGAATTTTTCAAAATAAACGAAAAATGGAAAGGAACTAAATCTGTCGTAAAGAAATGCCTACCATCATTGGTTTTCTGGGTTTGTATCTGTTTTAATAGAGCATGTAGTTGTTTGTGGCTTTAACTATTAAACTCGGGTTCATTTACTGCTGAATGGCTTCCTACAAATCAAATAAAAGTAGATAGGCATGTTGACAGCTGGAGTTGTCCAGCCACCTGAATTATGTTGCGTTGTTTTGAAGTTTTGCATGATTGTCTTGAAGGAACGGCTTCTTTTTTCATCCCTAACCCCAGTTCTCCTGCTATCACTTACCAAGGAACCACTTGTTTTGATAACTCCCGGCAGCTCTTTTTCCTCCTGGGTGTCGTCCAACTGACTAGGATGGTTGTCACAGGTATCGCCTGGCTAATGAAAGAAACGAAAGTCATTTTTATCCAGGCATATCTTTCACTATGTGATTGTTTATTCAATTATACATCACACTAGAATCTGTATAAATGCACAGCCATGTGGACATACACAGAGTTAATGACTACAGTGCAATTGGTAGCATTCACCAATTCCTCCAAAAGGATGTTGAGCCTCCTAAACGTCATGCACTGCAATAGAAATGAGTCTCAAAAGCAGACACTGCCGCCTGCCTGCCAAAACCCACTTTTCTTTTCTTCTTTAACATATGAATATCATGATCTTGCTCTATGATGCTGCGTGTCTATCTAAAAGGACTAAGTGTGATCATGTGATGGCTCCGTCCAAAGAGATTCGAGTGAAACCCTACTTGGTAGAGCACCCAGGAAGGCTAATGTTTTCTTGTTGAAGTGCATGGAATCAGCTGGCTGATGCTTCTCCCAGAACATGGGCATGGTACCTGTGATGCCCAGACATCCTGTAAGCATTAAATACTAGCCTGTATGCTGAGTGGAACAGAATGGAAAGATAAAAATTTGGTAGGTCCATGAGAGGGATATTAGTCAAACCAGCCGCAGACTTCTTATTTTGTAAGGAAAATAAACCTCTAATTGTCTAAGTCAGGAAGCTTACTGATTAAACTATGCTACTTAAAAATCAGACTTTATGACTGTATTTTGGAGTGATTTACAAATCAAAAGCAAGAGTATTCAGGTTTTTTTTTCATTTTGAAACTGGAAAAACATTAGACTGATTATCTCACAAACACATATGACTGAACCAAATATTTCATTCCCATCACTGAGTATTGGAAAAGCTCTGATTTTCACTATGCAGCAAATGGATTTGAGACTATTCTAATTGCGATGTGCTGCACTGTAGGCCTTGTGCATATGCTCTAAGATTTTTAGCAGCATTTGTGATATAATGGCATTTCCCAAAATAAGATGTAAATATTCTACTCCATGATTAAAGCAACTTTTTGCAAAATTAAGCATACTGGATATTAATGAAATAAACTTTTACACGAGAACTTAGAAACATTTTTCATTTGACTTTTCCATATTTTCTAACTTTCCCCCAATGTGTATGTATTATATTGCTATGAAGAACACACATCTCTTTGGAAGGGGAAACAATGCTGAAAAGGCAGTACAAGAAAACTTAGGTCAGGATGGAGGTCAGAGAGTGTACCACTCTCAATCACTCAGAATTAGAGAAAGGGCGTATTTTTAAGTATAGCTCCAAGGGCACTGAAAACCAACAAAGTGTTCTAATAACAGATTAAAAATTGTTAGAAATTCCTGGAAAATAAAAAGTAAGTAATTTATTTCATAATTGTAAAGAAATTCTCAGCCTAAGGATAGCATAAGACAAAGAAAGGGCAAATCCACAAAAAAGCAAACAGACAAACAACCAAGCTTAGAGTGAAAACCACACAGGACAAGAAGGGGTCCCAGGGCAATGGCTAGGATAATTTATTGTAAAGTGTTTCCTTAATGGAAGGGCCCGACCGAACTCCCAACAGTTCCCTTTACACTGAACAGCAGACGGCAGCCACGTATGGACCCAAGGAAAGCACTCTGAATGAAGTGAACTACCTGCCTTGGGAAGATGCCCAGGGTTGAGACCAAAACAGACCTCAATATCAGGTCACTCTGGACCTTCATGAAAGACATGGATGGGAGAATAAAAGGAGAACATGAGTTTTGTCTGGGAATGATGTCATTTGCCACTCTCCCTTTGGCATTGAAGGTATGTGCATGCGTGTATTTGTGTGTGTACGTGTGTATGTACGTGTGTCTACATATGCACACATGCACGGACTCACCCATGTGTGCTGTTAAAATAACGTCCATTCACAGACTGCTCACATACCTTACTGCTTACACAGGACCCAAAGTCAGCCCTCTTATTCAATAAAGAGCCCTTTGGGAAAATATCTATATAATGGCAGAGAAATCATACAGCAATGACATATCCTAAAAGTCGTTAACTAGTCAATCCAGACCATCACTAAGGATCATCAGCCACTGGAGAAAAATCAACACTATAAAAAAGTCAGCTGTGGAGAAAATCAACATTCTGAAAAAAAAGTATATTGGTATACATTCTGGGAGAAAGAGATAAGTGAGGGAAGAGAAAAAGGCTTATAATGATTTAATAATTTCAGAGAGATCTGAGAGACTATTGCAATCATAAATCAGGACTAACTATAACAATAAAGGGTAAATCAGTGAAAAAAGGAGGAGTTTTTATGAATTAACAGTATGATTGCTGAATTTAAAAATCAACAGGGACCCAATTATAACCACTCATGACAAAAATGAGAATTAGGTTCCCACAAAATGATGTAGACAAAACCTGCTAGCATACAGAACAAACGGAAAACAAAGACATGGGAAATATAAGAGACAACTTAAGAGCTGTGTGAGTTTAATGTAAGAAATGAAAAGAAGAAGAGAGAAAATGGAGATAATGAAGTAAAAGAAACAATGGGAAAAGAATGTTCAGAACTGAAAGGAAACATGTTTCAGAAACAAAAAGCTGAGTGCTGGATCATGATAAAAAAAAAAAAAAAAGATTTCATATCCTGATGGCAGTTCAGGCCTCTCACAACAAAGATAAACCTAAAAGCTTCCAGAAATATAAAAATGAGAGTAGGATGCAAATAAAGGAATGATTTAGAGAGGCATCAGGCTTCTCAACATTAACACTATATGAAAAGCAAATAGATTAATATTTACAAATTTCTGAAAGAAAATGATCAACAGCCTAGCACACTGATACTAACCAGTTTAGGATTTAAGCCTTTTAGTTATTAAAATTTAGTATTCAGAGATATTTCTTGCCAGATTTGCTCAAAGGATAAAAGATGCAATCTGCTAAGAAGATGTAACAGTTTGTAATATATGTGATTATGGAAATTAGTATTTCTACTCTTCTCTGTGGTCATTCTGGCGGGCTAGCCCTCATCCTCCTCCAGGGATAAGAGTAGTACTGCTTTCTCATTCTATAAACTGGTGAGTAGTTCAGGGGTGTGTCTGGAATAAAACTTAATCATTCTTGTTCACCTCAGTGGGAGATTTCTTCATGTGTTTCGTCACCACACTTGCCTTTAACCTTTAAAAGATGACAAGACCATCAAAGAATTGAAATAAAAGGGATAGTGCTAAAAGAGAAAAGAAACAAAATAAGCACAGACTCATCATGAGAGTCCACGGCTGGATGTGGAGTGTCAATGAGGCAACAAGATCTAAAATAAGACTCACTCTTACACGTTGCCTTGACATCCGGTAAAAGCGGGAGGGCCGTAAGTGGTCTAAGCCCAAGTTCCCCTCCCACTTTGCTCCCTCAGATAAGGTCCCCTAGTAAGACAACACTCCTTACCCAGGGGGCCAGACACAGTTCTTGCTTATCCCTGAGTAGTGGGTTTCAGTTTCCTGTCCACCCATGGAATTATTCAAACAAGCCAATCCATCCTCTGTGAGAACCAAGGGGGCACTCACCCTCTTGATACTACAAAGCCTGGCTGTTCACTCTGTTCCCAAGTGCACGCCACATGTGGCTCTGTATGGTGTGCGGTGTCCTCCCTCCCTGGGCTGCGAGAACATGTAATAAATTGCTGTTGTCTCATCTTTCCAGTGTCAGGGGTCATGTGCTGAGCCATCCCTATAACCCCAGGGTGAAGAGGAGGCAATCAAAACAGTAGGTAGAGGCAGGTGGGGTGAAAAGCTCATAGAAATCGTTCTTTGAAAACACCCCGTGTCTACTCTGACTTGCCCCTCCTCTAGCTGAGAGAAGAGGTAGTGGCTGCTGTGAAGGGGAGCAGGCGGGCAGAGAGGAACAAATGCCTGGATCAAGTGTCCTGGCTGGAAGGATGGTATAGAAGACTCCCTGAACCGAGGGAAAAATCTTCCAACTCAACAGAAAATGTAAAGACCTCTGACTAGACAGAGTTCACACTCTTATGAGAAATGCAATGAAATTAGAAAAAAATTAGAGACAAATATCTGAAAACAGGATTGCTCACAGCCCCAGCTGACCACCCTCCACCTCCAGACCTTGACCTACCCTCAGGCAACAGAAGAGCAGCCAGAACACAAACTGGCCACATCCAAACCCTTGAGCAGAATTTTGGAAGGGACCAGGGGCTAGCCTGTATCGAGACAATTGCAAGATGTGGACAGAGTGCCCCACATAAAATATATGCAAGATGAAAGTAAACTGTAGAGAATCTAAACATCATCATCATCATCATCAATCAGATCAAGAATGGTACAGGGGTTACTCTTAGAACAACAAAGAATCCCTCTTCCTCTGCTAGGGAAGAAAATAAAGAGCTAAAGAGAAGGAAACACATAGAAGCATGATAGAGGAAGGTCTCTTACTGTAAATTTTCTGCTGCCATGAGTCCAGGTGGAGGAAGATGTCAGGAACCCATGTCCTTCTCAGGGTGAAGGGTCACCACTTCAGTAAGAGGACCCAGGCCTCATGCCAGGAGGTACAGATCACAGCATGAGATTCATCTCTTTCACTGAAATAGCTTCACTGACAGTTTGGAACTCAGATCATCACTCTTTGAAATTTGCACTAAACTGGGAGAGGTGGGCTCTAAATAAAACGTGTTTACCTCCTGTGCAAGATTGTGCACTTTTTCCACTTATTGTTACAGGTTCAAGATGCTATAGTGCTGCGTCCCACAATATATTTACATTTAGAAAGTAACTTAAATGTCAAAATATTTCTTACAGTGACAATTAAATTCATTTTGAAAGGTTTATAGAAGGTAGCATAAAATTTTCCACTATGCACTCAGCAAAGAGAACAATAGTTTAGCTGATGACCTCCCACATGTACTGACTTCTGGCTGTGGCTGCAGCTGCAGCTGTGATTGTTTTTGTTATTGTACGTACAAGCAGGCCCCATAGAATCTGCGGATTTAACTATTTAATTATTCATTCCTGAGTCTGAGTCCCCTTTTTTCTTCATTGTTACAAGGTAAGTAGGCTTTTTTTTTTTTTTTTAAACTTTCCAGGCTGCCTTGAATTAACCACTTCTCCTGATCCCCTTGCTCTGTCTTACCAGTTGGCCATTTCTGCAGGGAACTGCTGGCATCCCTTCTTCATCTGGGTTCACATCCGAAAGAGGAGCTGGGATACAACAAAAATCATCTGGCTATTGAGAAAAATGAAAGTGCATTTTTATTCAGGCATGTTCTCCCAAGGGTAACTGCATTTAATCACGTGTTACGCATACGATGTGCACATTCATACAGACATGTTGAGACACCCACAGATATGACTGCCTATGCGCTGATCACTGCATTTGGCCACTTAGCAGCCAGTCCTGGGAGCTCACCACACACCAGGCCCAGTGACAGACACTGGTACGTGTGGAAGATCCTGTCAACCGCCTGCCCCAAACCCAGTCACCTGTCTTCCTTAATAGGATCCTGATTTTGTTTTTCAGGAACTTTTGTGTACAATGAAAAAATATCAACTTCCCAGGCTCTCTTGCAGCTAAGGATGATTGTATAACATTTCTAGGCAATGAGAGGTAACTGGAATTCTACCAAGTAAGACTTCTGGGAAACTGAAGTCAGAGAGATAGAGTCAGTTGGTACAAGCTCCAGGAACCACCAGGAACACGGGCATGCTGGCAGGAGTGGCCCAGCCCCCTTGGCAAGCAAAAGAATGAAGGCCACATGTGAAAGATAAAATAGAAAGATGGAAGGAAGCTGGATCTACGCTAAAGCAAAGACCAGTTTCCTCTGAAAGAGAGAAAAAACAAATTCATATTTGTATAAACTCATGATTTCTTGGGTTTTCTGGGCCATGCAGTCAAATGTATATGTGTGATATAACATTTTTTTTAAGGACTGTATGCCTATATTTATACAGTTAATTATGAGTTAGTCCCACCTTTAACTGTTTATCAATTATGAAATTAGATTGACTATTTTGCTCAATTAAATGTGTTACTGAAGGTAATAATTGATTCACATCTTCTGAATATTAGAAAAAATCTGTTTGAGCACTGAACTTCTGCTCATGATGAAATGGATTGTAGACCTTGCATTATGTATCCAAAGGGTGATTTAATATCTGTGATTTAGTGTATAAGAGCTCTACCAAAACAAGGGTTAAATATTCTATTCTTTTATGGTTAGAATTTCACTGAAAATTACATTCATTGGATATTTAATTAAATCATAAAATTTTATTTGGGCCCATAGAAATACTCATTTTTTACCTCGCTTGTCCATATTTTCTAAATTTCCATTAAAGACGATGTATTACTTTTATAATAAGGAAAAAAACACATTTTTTGAAAGGAACAAATACTACTGAAAAATCAACGTAGGAAAATTGGATCAAGATATTACAATGCACATACCACATTCTCCTCCCCCTGCAAATCACTCAAAATGTCAAAGAGATACCTTTCTCAAAGAGTAGATCTAGAAACCACTAAACATTTCCATTAGCAGAAGAGAAATTGTTGGATGCTTCTGGAAGATAAAGAGCAAGCAAGAGTGGTTTGATAAGGGTAGAGAAAAACTTCGGCCTGAAAAAAGGTATAAGAGAAAAATGTGTGGAAGGTAAATGCTGATCCAGAAAAAGCACATATCCAGAGTGAAAATAAAAACAGCAGGAAGGCATCGCCCAATTCAGAAGGCAACAGCTGTTTAGGAGAACAGCAGGCAGCAGCTAAATATAATTCCAGGATAAAACCCAAGTGTCCCCTCGGTGACAGAGTGACCACCTGCCTTGGGAGTGGTAGTGGCTGTCCTAGTATGGGTGCGGTGGTCCCGGATAGAAAGAATGTTGAATTGCACTTTATTGGGGCCTTCTAAAAGGATATAGACAGGAGTATAAAAAGGAAAGTTGGGTTTGCCTGAAAAGGAAACCAATTATGATTCTGCAGGATCTTGTTACTTTGGCATTGATACCATATTTATTTCTTAAAGTGAAGTGTGACAGTTGACATTGCCACACTTCACCACTCACACAGGCCCAGACTCCTGTTCTGGGGGAGAGTTTTTGGGAGAAAACGGGTCTACATAACTGCATAAGAAATATATGACCACTACCTAATCAATCAGTCAATCTAGTTCTCCATTAATGAATATAAATCAATACCCAAAGATTAAAGTTAACTGAACAATAGCAATGTAATGATGCCAAAAATAAACAGATGACCCTGAAGGAAAGAGATAATTCAAGGAAAAAAAGAGAACCTTGGAATTTAAGGTTTAATTTAGTACCTTCAGAGTGCTGAGAGGCTATTGCGGCTGAGAAACAGAACAGATCACAAAATAAAGGAAAAATTAGGGGAAAGGAGGGGCTTCAGTAAGTTCATAAGAGGACTATTAAAGTTTTAAAAATTAATGAAAGGTAAAAGTGTTAATACAACCAAGGCCAAATTAATGATATAAAAGATGAAGTTGAAGGGACAGCCAAGAGTGTAGAGCAAAAACATACACAAAAACAAAGCTTGGAAAATAGGACATTTAAGAGATATTGAGATTCAATCCAAACAATGAAACAATCATCTAACAACAATCATCTAACAACAATCATCTAATATCCAGAAAGAGACAGTGAGAAAATGAAGGGAATAAATACTTGTTTTAAACGTTAGAAGAAAATATGCAGAATGAACAAGCTGAAGAATGAAAGAGCTCACTTGGTAGTGACCAGGATGAATTTTTTTAAAAAGGAAAACTGCTAAAATTTCAAGGTTCCAACAATAAAAAGTGAAATTCACAAAGCTTCCACATTTGTATATAAAGGAATGAAGTTGACGTAGATATTGTGTTTCCCCACAGCAATGGTGTGTGAGAGAAGATAACGGACAAATATTTTCAAAATTCTGAAGAAAAATGATTTTGAACCTGGGATTCTATATGCAAAAAATTAAGAAAAAAAATATTTGTTTTTAAAATTATTTATATCTTCATTTGGTGAGTATAGTGGGTCAGATTCATAATTCTAAGATTAATGCAAAATTACCTAATGCAACTTGTAATGTTAAAACTTCATTAAGAAAATGGAATGGAAACTTTATGTAATTGTTCTATTAATGTAGGTAAACGATGACAAAGGCAGAAATAAAGAATAGAAGAGAATAAGGAAGGGAGAGCGGGGAAGAGAAGAAGGAGGAGGAGGGAGGAACTGGTATTCATGACGTCAAATTCAAATCGGAAACTTAAAAGTTTAGGTACATTTCTAAGAACCTCCAAGTCTATTTACCTGCAGAAGCAGATGCTGAAGTTTTTAGGAAAAAACAGTCTTGTGGGAATGTTTATTAGGACTTACACATTGTAAATATACCATATTTTTAAAAGGCTGCCTTATATGGCTTTTTACATTTTTGACAAAGAACAATGTGAATTTTTAAGCAGCATAATACAATGCCAGGCTTTCCCTGACTTCCAGGTGCCCCACTTCTCAGGAGAGCACAAGACCTCTACTCCCTGGAATATATGGTCATTCTTTTACCTGTGACCACTTCCCCTGCCTCATTCCCCATTCTCTCTAGAACTGGGGCTTCCGCAGCAAGACTGGGGGGGTATGTGGGAGAAGAGGAAGGCAGACAGGAGGAAGAGCCCCCGGGGCTACTCCCCTTGCCCACCAAGAATGCGGCCCTCTCTCTGCCTTTGCTGGAGTTAAACACCAAACAGTTTATTGCACTTACATGTTACGGAAAAGTAAGACTCTTCATTTCATTTTATACTTAAGCCCTAATGTCTTAAGTGCCCACCTTACGATTCCCTTCGGGGTCCAAGTGAAAGAAATGGGAGAAGCACTGCTTCTATGTGACTATAGCGCAACGTTTGGGGAAACCTAGAGAGGCTGGTTATGCATTTTCTTGAGTAACTGGAGGATTCAGGAGAAACTATAGACCCATATTTTGCAGTTTGCTAGGGAAGAGGAAAAATATTAGTCTGAAGTAGCTGGAAACAGAAATGGGGAAAGGACGCATGTAGGCCAAGTTCTTAGGATTCTCTCAAGATGATCTGGGAGATAACTGGAAAATGACCCAGGGAATTTAAACCTGCAGGGTAAACCTTTTCTTTGACAGGCATCTTGTCCAGGACTCATGTGGCTGGAGCCCTAGCCTCAAGCTGTGGGCATCACCTTTACTCAGTTACAGCTTGAGACAATCTCACCTTCCAAGAAGACCCAGGTTTCAACTAGGCTGAAAGTTCAAACAGCGTAGAACTCAAAATGGCTTACCTTGAGTATATATCATTATATACAGCAGAGGATTTTAGAACTGTGTTCTTTATACTGGCTACAAGCCACATGTGACATTTTAGATTCAAATCAATTACAATTAAATACAATTAAAATTTTAGTTCCTTACTTACACTAGCTACGTTTCAAGTGCTAATGCCACATGTGATGGGGGCTTCCATATTGGACAGCACAGAAATAGATCATTTCCATCGCCGTAGAAAGTTCTAAAGGATAGCGCTCTTCTAGGACATTGTAAACACAAATACAAAGCTTAACTTTGTATATGTGAGCTGCCCTGGCAACACCCCGCTGTGACTAATGTATCTAAGAGAAGATTTGACTTACAGACAACCTAAACTAACTCAAATTAGAGACTGTCTTCAGTTATGCCAGCTACCCAAGATCCTTGAAGTTTTAATTTATGTCACTATTGATGTTACAATTAAACAGATGAGAAACCTAAATCAAAGTGATTAACCAACTTGCCCCAGGCAACTTTACCTGTGACTGCAGCAGAATATCAAGTTCCCCTTTTCCTATATATGAATTACCCCAAAGTTCCAAGAATCCTATCTGCATAGAACCTGATATAAGAATTGCACAGAGAATGTATCCAGTAATTATCTGTTGCATCAACGATGCAATTATTTCAATGCAACACTGCAATGATGCAATAAATGGATGAATGAGTGAACTGTAAAGCAGAGCTACCAGTAAAACAACCACAGAAATAGGAGGACGTGACTCAGCCTCAGAAGTAAAACTGTGGCCGTGGAATAGCCAAGGGTACGCTGGCATTTCAACCAGCCATTTCTCAGAAAACATGTGATGCTTCCCTCATGGTTTTTTGAATCATTCTCTGGCCCATTTGATTAATGCTGCATCTTTCACTTTTCATCATTTTAATTTCTTTGAACATAAAGGGTACCCTAACCACTCTCCCATCTCCACCCCCAATTAAAACAAACTACACAGACTTGCACATAATACTTGGGCCCACTTCTCTGGGACTCCTTTGCCTGTCCACAGAGTTTCCATTCAGTGCTGAGGTTTAAGTAAAGGCTCCGTGTATCTCATCCACAAAGACTTGCTCCATTACCAAAGAAGTGATCAACTTCAAAAGAAGGGAATAAATTTTGTGTGCGGGGAGACTGCTGTATGGGGAATAAGAAATAATCACTTAAGTTTCAAATTTGCAAAATTTTGCAGTTTGCTGTCTGCTTTACTTTTCTCTTAAAGCTAGAAGATGATTGACCTTTTCTGATAATTTTTCCACATTCCCCTTCCCTCCCCTCAAGCAAACCTAACCTTTTGAGCCCTGTTCACTACTTACAGGAGATTCGCTGACTCCAAAGATGTCTCTGACATCCCTGATGGATTGCTTGTTCTTTTTTCTCATGGTTTGAGTGTAAGTATTATATCTCTTCTTCACTGCAGCTGCTTGGGTTCGAGTCAAAGTCGAGAGCAAGGCTTTGCCACCCTCCTCTTCATCACCTGAGATCAGGGTTGATAAACCTACATCTTGCAACCACTCTGCTTCAAGTTCTCCTTCTGTAAGATGAAGTTACCAAGAGAAGGTTAGAATATTCTGAGATTGGAAGCCATGCATATCTGTAAGTCTATACACATCAGCAAGTAAGAAATAATCACTAGACAACATATTAAGACCATCCTGGACGTTGAGGACATTATGCCAAATGAAATAAGTCAGACAGAGAAAGAAAAACACCAAACACCATATGATCTCATTATATGTGGAGTTTAAAAACAAAACAAAGCAAAATGTCCAAGCTCATAAATACAGGGAACGGATTGGTGCTTACCAGAGGCCAGGGGTGGAGGGTGCGCGAAATGGGTAAAGGTGGTCAAAAGGTACAAACTTCCAGTTATAAAATAAGATAAATAAGTCATGGGGATGTCATGTACAGCATGGTAATTATAGTTGATAATGCTCTATTGCATATTTGAAAATTGTTAAGAGAGTAGGATCTTCAAAGTTCTTACCACAAGAAAAAACATTTTGTAACTATGTTGACGATGGGTATTAACTACACTTATTTTGGTGACTGTTTCACAATGTATTCAAATATCTAATCATTATGTTTATACCTGAAACTAATATAATATTGTATGTAAATTAAACCTCAAAAAACTTTAAAAGACCATTCTTTTTCCCATAGTAATTGTGGGAACGGCCTATAGGAATGAATAAAAGGTCTGTATTGTATTTTTTTAAGTAAGTCAAATTTTTAAAGTATCTTCTAGTAGAGTAAGGTTATTTGGCAGATTTGGGAAGGTAATTTTCCTTACCAGAGAGTTAAATATAAGCCATATCTGAACAGCCAATTTCAAAAAATGATAAAATATTAATATCTAAACTAAAACCATGACAGAAAAAATGTGGTTTAATGGCACACAAAAGAATTTTTTAATCACACAAATTCAGGTTCAAATCCCAACCACCATTTACTAACTGAATGACTTTGGAGAGTTTTAAGTATCTCTAGATCTCGTGTCCTCTTGGCAAAATGGAGGTAATAATCACCAAAGTATTAGGTGGCTATGAGGATTATTTTATCAATGAATTTGTGACAGATGGCAAAAATCTAGAACAGAGTATGTGTTCAATAGATATTCGTTCTCTTACTTTTCTCCTTATTTTGAACATTAGGTAATCTTTCCTTTTCTCAGAAGGCAGCTAAAAAACTTAAAATTCATCATGATGAAGATCAATCGCTATTATAAATTAGATGTGCAGAAATACTAAAGAATTCAGAATAACAACATCATGTAACGGAAAATCCACTGTACACACTATAACATTCTGGGAACTATGCTAAACAGGCATTACCTGAATAAGGTTTCTTTTAAAGAGCAGAATTGACTGGTTTGCAAGTACACTATCAAATCATCAGTCCAGAGGCGTTGGACTCTGCTTATGTTATTCTATCACTGGTACATGAACAAAAGCCTTCCCACACGCTTTACAAGAAAATGAGAAAACTTTTTAAACTGAATAATAATGAAAATATGAAATATCAAAATTTGTGGGACGGAGTGAAGTCACAAAGGAAAAAGTAAAACTGTCTCTATTCACAAATGATCTCTTTGTTTATGTAGAAAATTCTAAGAAATCTAGTAGTAGACAACTCCTGGTAAGTCAGTTTAGAAAGGTAATGAAATATAAGGTCAAGTACAAAAATCAATTGTACTGCACACCAGTTGCAAACAATTAAAAAATGAGAGAGGTGAGAGAACGAGAGACACCCAATTAAAAGAAATAGTCAAAAGATTTCACAAAGCAAGATATATGAATGGACAATAAGCACAGGAAAAAGCGTTTGACATCATTAGTCATCGGTGAAGTATAATTACAACCACAATGAGATACCTCCACACATCCCTAGAATCATTCATGTTAATAAGTCTTAAAACATCAAATGTTGCAAGGATGTGAAGCAGCTAGACTTGTCTGTCAGATACCGCTGGGAGGAGTGTGAAGTGGTACAACTACTTTGGAAAAATGCTGGCAGTTTCTTATGTAATTACACATATTCTATGAAAAATACATATATCCAAGAGAAATAAAAATATATCTCCACCGAAAGACTTCTACAAGATTGTTCACAGCAGCCTTATTCATAATGGCCAAAACTGCAAACAACCATTAACAGTTAAATGTATAGACAAATTATGGCATATTCATACAACAGAATACTGCTGTCATGGGTTGAATTGGGTCCCCAAAAAGATACACTGAAGTTCTAACCACCAATACAGGTGAATGTAACCTTATTTGGAAACAGGGCCTTGGCAGGTATAATTAGGATTTAAGTTGAGGTGAGGTCATACTGGAGTAGAGAGGGCCCTTGATCCGATATAGCTAGTGTCCTTATAAGAAGAGGAGGTGAGACACAGACAACAACACAGGGAGTAGGCTACGTGACTACAGAGGTAGAGAATGGCAAGTGTTGTCTACAAGCCAAGGAACAGCTAGGATTGCTGGCAACACCAGAAGCTAAGAGAAAGACATGGAACAGATTCTTCCCTACCATCTTCAGAGAGAGGAGGGCCCTGCTGACCCCTTGATTTTGGACTTCTAGTCTCCAGAACCACAAGAGAACAGATTTCTGTTGTTTTAAGCCACCTAGTTCTGTGGTACTTTGTTACAGCACCGCTAGGAAACTAATACAAACTATCCCATAATAAAAAGCAATGAAATAGTAATACACCAAATGAATCTCAAAAATATTATGTTCAGTGAAAGAAGCCAAACCCAAAACTATATGCTGCAAAAACATCAGAACCTTGGTTGTCTCTGGCTAGGGACAGCAAGTCACGGGGATGATGAGATTGGGAAAAACCATGAGGAAATTCTGAGTTGACTGAAATGTTATGTCGATTTGTGTGAGGTTACAGGGTTAGTATTTGTCAAACGTCACTGAATTGCACACTTAAGATCTAGGCATATGCTTCAAGGAAAATAATATCAGTCAAATAAATTTTGAACTCCAGTTAGTAGGTATGCTTTTTGTAGAAGTTTATGTTAGCACGCCTGAGAATGTTTTCTGTATACTCTAGGCTTGAGCAAATGAAAAAGTACATTGAGGAGCAGGTTTGTCATTATTGGAGAAGGGGGTTATAAATACAGAAAAATGGAAGACAACAAACTTTGTGGTGTTGGATTGGAATTGGAGGTTATCAGTACGAACTTATGATTTTTAATATAGATAGCTAGCTAGCTAGTAAGAAAAAAGAAGTGGAGAATAAGAGGTATTTTCCTTTATGTGTCTTTCTGGATCTGAAAAGGCAAAATGTAAGTATGTAAGGAAAAGGAATAAAAATATCCTTCTCTGATGGAGGACAGTTCCCCTGAATGGATTTTTATTAAATCTGTGGTGGGACTTTTTATTTCTAATGCTAAGTGAAATATACTAATTGTGGTACATCTGAACTATTGTTTTTCAGATCTAAGAAGGATAGGCTTGTAGAAAGGGAATAAAGAAAAAAAAGTTTTTTAAAGTTTCAGTTTATCTTGATAGTTGTCTTGAGGTTAATCACTGGCTAATGAAAACATTCTTAGATACTTGCTAAACTACCTTCAGTCTTTCTTATGCATTTACTTGTCCATAGGTAGTACCTGGAGAACATAACCTATGCTTTTAATCTCAGGTGAGTAATTTTGTACTTTTTGACAATCACGGACAATTATACTTTTTGGGTCCTCAACCTTCTTGTCTAATTTCACTGGAAACTAGTATAATTGACATATCTGACACGGCTCTTATTTGGTGAAGCACTAGATTATCCGTTCTCTAAATACATTAATGCTAGTACATGCTTCATAGCTAAGTATTTTTAATCCAGAGTTATGTTGGTAAATCTTTTTTCTGTCTGTCTCTCTCTTTTGGTAATTAATGGTCAAGTATACAAGTATAAAAGCCATCAAAATGAGAATACTCAATCTGCTAGATGATTATGAATCAAGTCAACAGACGGGTACAGCATCCCTAAGTGGTGATACGTAAAGGATCAATTTGCATTGTGTTGACAGCCCTCCTTCAGGTCATGTCACCTTACACAGAAGCCACCCTGAGCCAGACCAGCAGATATAAATTGGTGGGAGCAGGCAGCTGATTTGCCAAATTCTACTGGTTCACTTGTTAAACTACTAGTGGAATGATTTCTACCTGCCAACAGAATAAGAGAGCATACAAAGAAAGACAGCACAGGGGAAGACCAATCTAGCACCTCACCATCCAGGGGCTTGGCCTCAGCTGGCGTCTGCTCTTCCTGAACTCCCAGGCTGTTCTCTTTGATACTTTCTATTTCCCGCCAGAAATCCTCCATGGAGGCGCTGTCTATGGAGGCTTGAGAGTTGGAGCGGCTGAATGCCGGGGATTGTAAGGATTCATTGGAGAGCATCCTGCTAATTCTTCGGCAGCGAGAAATGGATTTTCTGAGAAAAGAATAGTATCTGTTAACGAAAATCAGTGTCTCATGTTACAAATCACAAAATTAAATTTAGGTGTGATATCAATGGAGAGATGGAGTTGGTGTGAAAGAGAGGGGTTTGAGGGAATAACCTCCAGTCTGCGGTGGCCCCGTCCTTTTCATTCTCTATAATTCATAATGACTTTGTGGCCATGCAGAAATTACCACAAAAATACTTTTTATACCTTTCACACACTCATAAAGTGGGAAGCTGTTCATGTTAGTCAAAACATATATAGTAAAAGTTAGCCCCTGTAAAGTATCTAAGGTGATGTCAGAGAAGAGTGAAAAAAGCTGGCTGCTCACATCCAGTGGGGTGGGTACTATTAAGCAAACAAAATAAGCATTGGCGAGGATGCAGAGAAACTGGAACCCTTGTTCATTGTTGGTGGAAATGTAAAATGGTACAGCCTCTGTGGAAAACAGCATGGCAATCCCTCAAAAACTCTAACAGAACTACTGTGATATCCAGCAATTCCACTGACTCTACGTACAAAAGAACTGAAAGCAGAGTCTTGAAGAGGTACATGTACATCCATGTTCATAACAGTGATTCACGATAGCCACAAGGCAGAAGCGACTTAAACATCCACTGACAGACCAATGGATAAGCAAAATGTGGTCTATTCATACAAAGAAATATTATTGAGCCTTAAAAAGAAAGGAAATTCTGACACATGCTACAACATGGATAAGCCTTGAGGACATCAGGCTAAGTGAAATAAGCCAGTCACAGAAAAACAAATGGTGTATGATTCCACTTATGTGAGGGACCTAAAGGAGTCAAACGCCTAGAGACAGAAAGTAGAATGGTGGTTGTAAGGGTCTGCGGGGAAGGAGGCATGGCGAGTTATTGTTTAACAGGTAGAGAGTTTCAGTTTTACAAGATGAACGAGTTCTGGAGCTGGAAGGTGGAGTCGGTTGCACAACAGTGTGAATGTGCTTCATGCCACTGAGCTGTAGGCTTAAAGGGGTTAATATGGTCAATTTTATGTCGCACATTGCACCAGAATTTAAAAACAAATATTTTTAAATTTAAAGATACATTTTTTAAAAGTTGGCTGTTGAGAAAATGAGCTAATGAGAGGAAATAATCCATGACATTAAACGGAAAAACTCTGTATTAGGATGGGGAAGTGGGGCACTGACTCAGTTCAGGGAGAACCAGATCACCACCAAGGGAAAGGCCCAAATGCTTAGGGGGGCAGCGAAGCTCCAGGTATCGCCACCCAGCAGGACCACTGCTAGCCTAGCAGACAACAGCTGAACAAGACACAGAGCAGCTCCATGGGGTGCTTTCCTCGTGGGATTGCTGCGAGGACTAAGTGAGTTAGCACACGTAAAGCATTTAGGACATAAAACATCCAACAGATGTTAGTCTAAAAAACAAGAGACACAGTAGGGGAGACAGATGCCAAAATGCTGGAATTCTGAGAGAGTTTGGAGATTTACATAAAAATAAAATATTTTATGTGAGGTGGTGGATGCATTAACTAACCTTATTGTGGTAATCATTTAGCAATATATACATATATCAAATCTTCAGGTCATACTCCTGAAATTTACCCCATGTTATATGTCAATTCTATCTCAATAAAGCTGGAAAAATTTTTAAATGTTTGACTCTATGATATATGATTGACAAATATTACACTTCTTAGGAACAGAATGTTTGATTACATATAACACTTCAGTCCTCAACCAGGAAGAATGACTGAATTAGTCTATGCAGTATGATCTTCTGTTCTTATTCTTACATGATTTTTTTTTCTTTTTAATTTTCCAGTTGGAGTGTATATGCAACTCCTGTCAAAGAACTCCTCCACACTTGCTTTCTTCTCCTTGGGTCCAGGTGGAATTGAACCAAAAAGTTGAGACTACTTAACCAATGTGTGGTCAGAGCTGTTTTATCCAAAACAAGAAACCCAGATAGAAAGAGCAAGGACATAGTAATGTCCAACCGTGGCATTCTGACTCGCTTAGGACAATTCAATTTTGACATTCAGAGCAGCAGTGGATTACTACCAAACTTAGCCGTGTCCTAGAGCATATGTAAAGCACACTGATATGTATAACAGTACAAAAAGAAAGGGGAATAAGAAAAAAGTTCCATGTGCTAATATGGTCTATACTTCTAGGAATCCTAGATTTCTCAATCATCTTTAGTATAAATTTCTAGAATTTGATCACTGATCCTGAGACTGTACCAGACTGTAAGTAGTTCTAGTTTTGCAGTGAGTTAGCCAACTTATTTTTAAAACTCAGAGCATTTCAGGAAAATATTAGATATCCACTTTTATTTTTTTTATTCTTTGCTGATAAAAATAATTTTATGACGCTTTGATAATTGGGTGATGAGAGTTCTTCACTGAATTCTTTACAGTTTGACAAGACAGACACATTCTAGTGGTTGAAATACATAGGAAATCAACACAGGTCATGAAGGCAGTTACTGCTCCCTTTACTATTTTTAGGCTCTTCAGCCTTTTCTCTTTTGAAAACCACTAATGAATTCATAGAATTATAGTATATAAACATCTACTTCTGTGAAACTGTAATCAATTACCACTGCTCACACAGCCTACTGCCCTCCGTGTACCATATTCAGGAAAAAGTATATAGATGCCCAAAACTTTCTCTAGTTCCAGTTTGGGGTTTTTTTTTTAGGTTTATTCTTTGAAAATGAATGTAACTTATAAAAAATTAACAGTCTTAACAGAAGACATGGACTAAGTTTTTAAAAATTATAAGGCGGTATATTATAAGCATAAAAGTTTAAGTAATTCACAATTTATAAAGCGGAAGCTGAAGGTTTCTTCCTATCTGTATCATATCATATTGTTCGATAAGCTGCTTTGCTTTCCCCACTCAAAAACATGTCATAGGGCTTCCCTGGTAGCACAGTGGTTGAGAGTCCGCCTAACGATGCAGGGGACACGGGTTCGTGCCCCAGTCCGGGAAGATCCCACATGCTGCGGAGTGGCTGGGCCCGTGAGCCATGGCCGCTGAGCTTGTGCGTCCGGAGCCTGTGCTCTGCTCTGCAACGGGAGAGGCCACAACAGTGAGAGGCCCGCATACCGCAAAAAACAAAAACAAAAACAAAAACATGTCATAGGTATCTCTTCCATGCCAATACAGAGATAACACCTCAATGGCTGCATGGAAAAGCACCATTTCTCTTAGAAATTAAGAAAACATGCAGATATACCTAAGCACTGAAAATGTTTGAAAAAGTGAGAAATTTGGGAAATATTAAGTGAATCTTAGAAGATGAGAGGCATATATATTTAGGGCTAATAATGATCCTTTTAGTTACAGCACGGTTTCTTACTCATGCAAAGGGAATACTGGTAGAATCTCAGAGAAGAGATCTTCATAAACTTCTGCTGGGAACGGGAGGATTGGAGGTGAAATACAGGTCATGAACATCTGCGTAACACACTGGTTTCATCTGAGACAATCCACCCAAAGAATCCTTTAATTGCAATGGTCAACTATTTTTTTTGGCAAGTAAGTCAAACAGCATTTTTGGGATAAGCGCATTTGGAAGAGTTCTCACTTCTTTAGTTAGGGATCCAAATATTTCCCCCTTCACCCCAGGGTAGAGTAGGGACCATGACCTTCCAGTCTTAAAGTATTACATAATTGTGATGCTTGGGCTCATCCACCACTTTGATGAGCCTCACAGCTTCAAACCTCACCATATTAGGATAAACAGAGCTTCAGCTTCATCAGCTGTTTGTTATTTTTTATTCCAAAACAATACCAGGAAAACACTACATGAAAAACAGAATGCAACTGTTACACAGCATTATATAGCAACTTTTGTTGGGAAAACACCATTAGGTTTGTGGGGTTTTTTTAGCCACGCCATGCGGCATGCAGGATCTTAGTTCCCGAGACCAGGGATTGAACCCGGGTCCCCTGCAGTGGAGGCACGGAGTCTTAACCACTGGACCTCCAGGGAAGTTCCAAAACACCATTAGGTTTAAAATTAGATTTAAGTGGATGATAATTACCATAAATTCAAAGTGGCATTAATAAAAAAAATTTTTAAAAAGATTTTACTATTCCATTTTCCCCTCCATAATGTTTTTAGAAATACCTTATATTTTAATGATTACTGGAGATGCTACAACTTCAGAACAATGCAAATAACGTATAAGAGTTTAATGTTCCCTCCACCCCTTATTATATTACTATTGTCATACATGTTGCTTCTTCACATGTTTACACCCCACAATGGTTATTATTTTTGTTTCTTTTAAAAAGTCAATAATCTTTTTAAAAATTAAATAAGTAGTCTTTTATGTTTATCCTTTCTGGTGCTCTTCATCCTTCCTGCATGTCCATGTATCCATAACAGATCATTCTAATCGGTTTTGAGAACCTCCTTTGGTATTTCCTCTCTTTTTCTTTAGCATTTCTTGTACTATGGATGTGCTGGCAACAAATCCCCTCATATTTCTTTCTGAATATGTCTTTAATTCACCTTCATCTTTGATGAATATATTTCCTGGGCATAGGACTCTAGGCTGGCAGATTTATTGTTGTTTTTATAATCCTTTTAAAGACAGCATTCCATTGTCTTTTGTATTCTTGATTCTGATGAAAACGCAATTATAACTCTTACTGACATGCTTCTAAATATAATGTTCTTCCTCTCTAACTGCTTTTAATAGACTTTTTCCCCTTATCTTTTGATTTTAGAAGCTTAATTATAAAATGCCTAGATTGTTTTATTTGTATTTATTCTACTTAAGGTTTACTGAGCTTCTTGAATCTGTAGGTAGATGTATTTCATCACCTTTAGGGTAGTCATCCATTTTCTCTTCAAGTATTTCTTCTGTCCAACTCTCTCTCTCCTCTTCTTCTGGAACTCCAATAACACAACCAATATTGTCCCAAATGTCCTTCACGATATGTTTGTTTCCCCTCCAACCCTCACCCCTTGTACTTCAGTTT